GAAGAAATAATTTGCATGAAAATAAAAAAAGAGGGAAAATACAGAAAATATATATTTACCTGTGAATCAGTGTCAATTGAGACTTTCTTTTGAATATTATTTCCTGTAGTTTTATCTGAGTCATTAATTACTGTCTGCGGATTACTAAATTCTTTTAAAAAGCTAATTTTTACTTGATTCGGTGATTTCTCAATTTTATCATTTTTCGTTTTTGTAATTTCAGATTTATTTAATATCTTATTTTTCCTATTCTCTCTTTCTATTTCTTCCAACACTAATCTACAATTATCATTTAACACACTTTGTAATTCAAAGAGAGATGTTGTTTCATTTCGTATATCATGATTTGTATGATTTAGTGCTTGAATAATTAGTTTTTTGTAAGACGATAAAAGATCATAATTAATTAATTTACCAAGTCCTTTAAAGATAATAATTATACTTTCCCATGTATTTACTACCTATATATATAACATTTCTTAGGTTAATTATATTTTTACTACATATTTAAATAAAATAAAATATTCAAAAATATATATACCTCTTTGTACTCTGATTGAAGCATAAGTTCAATTGCAGGTTTACAAACTTGTAAATATTGTATTACTTTTTCTGGATTATATCCATAGATAGTAATAATTACTGCTGTCAGTGCTTTGAGAATATGTTCACTCTCTTTAGCCTTTTTGTTAGATAAAAAATAAGTGACAAGATCCATAATAAGATTTATAATAGATGGAATGATTGTATTCTCTGGAAATTAAATTGAAATTTGAATATTTATCTCATATTAATTATACTTTACTATAATCATTTTTTTTTTTAAATTAAATTATTAACACACCCAGTACAAGTTGATAGTTGATAGTACTTAGCAAGATATCTAAACAACTCATAATGAGATAAGAAGTTTCTTCATTTTTTTTTAAACAAAGTTGCATAGTACTTGCAATATTTAAAAATATTTCATTAGATCTTTCAGGTGATATGCCTGGTTGTATTTTGAATTGTTTGTACAAACATTTCCAAGCCGTTGTTAATTCTTGAACCTGTTTCTGGTCCTTCAAATGCATATATCTAAATGGAAAGACTATAATAGATTCAACAGTTTTTAAGTACTGTTCTGCAGTATTTGCTTTACTCGATCCTTGCATATTAATCATGTATTTTTCTAACATATCTGCTAAAATAAGCCACAATTCAAAAATAATAAATCTGAAAATAATAAAATAATAGAACTTTATAATTAATATTAATTATTATTTTATACTGATTGCAACTTACTCAGTATTATCTTTTGCATTTGACAGTACATATAATTTCTCATGCATCTCTTTCAAGCAGTCAAATGCATGTGAATAATATATGTTTTTCTTCTGAGACTTAATACATTGGCAGAAAAAACATTTTAATGCATTATAATGCTTCCTTAAAAAACACAAATTTCAATACATCTTTTTATAGCAATAATAAATATTATATTAATATTAATATATTAATGTATTAATACTCACTTTTCGGCATTATTTAAAATTGAAATTTGTAGAAGTCTAAATACCATTTTTGATAATGTGTCATCTTGAAAATTAAAATCTGAACTCAAATCAACAATTTCAAATAAGATTGTATCAAGAATTAAATCTTTAATCATTGGCTTATTTTCAGCATGATTTATCAATTCTATAACAACCTGTATCATATCTTTATACATATTCTCCTGTAAAATATTATTTAATAAACGTATATCGTATTATCATAACATATCGCATTATATATTATGAAAAACATGTTTTTTAAACAATCATAAAATTGATCCAATACCAACCTTTACAGCTATTTTTGATTCTTGTATGTAAGCTATTAAACTTGTCCATAATATTTTACCAAGTTGATATCTGTTTTTCATTTCTGCATCTGTAAGGTGGCTAAGAATAAGCAGAGCTTCTCCTACGCTGTGAATTATGCTTTTGTAACACTCTTGAAAGATAGCATCAGATATAGGATGTGGAAGTCTCTCTTCCAAAATCTGAGTAGTATGATTCTCTTGTTTTTTGACAAGAAGTTGATATAAAACATCCATAGAAACAATTTTTGTTTTAAAAAATCTTTTCCCTGGTGAGGCAACTACATCAAACTTTGAAGATAATAATGGTGTATCTCCAAGAGGTCCAAAACAAAAATTTAAGAATTGTGTAATTACAGGATTAACAAATTTAGAGATGTCTTTATAAAGCTTAATAATCACATGCCACCAGACTTCTAATTTTGTCAATGCTATTAATTCAGTTTTACTGTTTTTAGCATTCAATGGAATACATAATAATTTTATTCGTCTGGGAGTAGCAAGTTCTTGTGGATCTAAAGCAAAATTGTCTACCAATAATTTCCATGAAAGGAATGCTTGCCTAGAATATCACATAAAATATCACATTATTTCTAATTTTAATCGAATAATATAATCTTATATATCATCATTATAAATATACCTGCGTGTAACTGTATCTGTAGATTTAAATGCTTTTTCTTCAACACTTAATAAATTATTTATTAAACCAGCACCACGATGAAGGTCTACACCAAGAAACTGAATACTAACATTCCATTGTGTAGCCCAATCTAATTCACATGCAGATACTAAAAGTAACATACGTTTGCAGTATGTAGACTGTAATGTTGCTACATATTGAGTCCATGTAGATGCTAGTTTAGTACGAACATGTGATATCATATTTGTTGCTAAAGCTTGTTGTAAAAGTTTTAAAGCAGGACCACGTTGTCGTTTATGACCCATATAAGCTAATATCGTTACTTTATCCATCAATAGAAGATTAAACTGTAAAAACAATGAATTCAGTATTTTTGCATTTTTGTGACGTTATAAATATTATTTATATACCCTGTTAATTTTAATATCTGATGTTATTGCAGCCACTTTGTATAATCTCCTTAATAGAGTTACACAATAATTAATTGTTTCTTCTTCTAATCTTTGGTACTCTGACAATGGTTTATTCTCAGCATCTATCAATGCTTGTAGATTATCTACACATGCATTTGGTGCTGTCCACGGCATTATATCTGTTTGTATTGTACACATACAATTATTTAAAAAATTTACAATATATGGGTCATAAGCAAATACTGATACAGCATTGTCTTCAACTATATCTAATAATTTAAGAATTTTTAATCTGAAATGAAAAGATTAAATATTGTTACTGGAATATTATTACTAAGAAGTTGTTAAATTTAAATATCTCGTATGAACGAACCTATTTTTTTTATTTATTTTCGACATAATCTCAAACAAATTCAAAGTATGGTTTTTAAATTCCTGAATAATTATATTTAATGTTTCATATGCCTCATTCTGTATGTCACTATTTCCATTTACAAATGCATCTACAATTAGTTCACATAAATCCTTATATTGGTCTTCTTTAATAGTTTTTGTGGATTCTAATTTTTTGCTGTTGCTAAAATAACATAATATATATAATACATAAAATTTAAAAAATATACGTAAATAATAAAATCTGCCTATTATAACAGAATGAAATATTTTCCACGTAACAAAGTTTAATATGATTACAATTAGTTTAAATATCATATCAATGTGTAAGTAAAAATGTCAATGTACCTACCTGCGAATATAGGTTAAAGCTTCGCGTTTCTCCTTAACATTACTATTTTCCCGCAGCAATTTCAGCATACGCGGGAAAGATTGCATATCAGAAGCCATTCTACAAATTTTTGTTTCTCAAAAAATTACAATAGTAGAACTTCGTTCATCTCATCACAAATGAATGTCTACACAGAACTTCCGCAAAAGATTTTTGCACCTCTACCGATGTATCACATGAACATTAGGATTGGGATTGCTTACTGATTTCTTTTGAGAATCGTATTTTTACAGACATTCAATGTCTTTATAAATTATCCCCTACAAACAATCGAGAAAAACAGGTTGTAGTGCGCAATTATTAAGCATTAGTATGTATGAATACATATATTGGCACACACCTTCTACATCAGCTCTTTCTTCAGCTATTTCTTTATTTACTTTTTCCCCCCTCCTATTTTCTTTTTCCTCTTTTATTTACGTTATGGAATTACAATACACTCAATCAGGATGAATTTTTAAAAGTGATATACAACTGGACATGTAGTCATATAACAATTTAACGTTTTACATTCCCGACAAGTTTGCAAAGTGCTCGCACAACTTTAGATACCGTTTTCAATAAATTTTCGCTACTTTCGTTCAAGGAATTATATTAATTGTCAAAGTAAAAATATTCTTTATTTTTCTCATGTACTCAAATTAGAGAGGCACTTCATCAACTACAAAACATGATTTGAAAAATATGTTTCAGTAAAAATCGTCTATCCACCAAAATATGCGTACCACGTGGTACTTGAATACTAAACTGAAGTTGACTTGACTGTGAAACAGTAATATATTTTCTATGTATATAAATAGACAAGGGTGAAATTGTTATTTAAAAAATTTAAATTTTTCACATTTATAAAAAAATTCGAATTCATTTAAATATGAATTTCAACAGGCAAATTATTTGTATTTATAACTTTCATACTTTACTTGAAATAAAAAGCTTTGTACTTTCTTAATGTGACACTTCAATATATTTCCTTGTTGTAGTAGTTCCATTCATATGTACAAAAAAAAAATCAGTAAAAAATATTTCAAAAATTAAATTTAAATTTATACTAATACTAATAATATATACCAAAAAATTACTAATTTATTGAAAAATATATAAAATATATACGTGAAAAAATATAAATTCCATTGGAAGTTTCATTTTTATATAATTCATTGATATAAACAAATACTTTATTTATTTAAAATCTAGGAATACATAAATTCACTTCTGTATAGTTAAATTAAATATAGTTATATAATAAAATATAGTCATGTAAATATTGTATATAATTCTTTTCTATTTCTTTAATTTAAAATTATGAAAAACTCAATATAAAAAATATTATAAATTTTATTTATAAAATAGTGATTTTATCTGTATTTACAATAATTTATTATATGATCAACTTAAGAACACAACCATAGTTGTACACTATTGTATCTATCTTGTGGTAGAGTATCACAAAGTCTTTGTCCTGTACTGATAGCAACTATAGGTAAATTTTTATGTAAACTTATGCCATTTATACAATCGTGAGATAGATTTATTTCATGTGTTACATTAAGATTTTCACAATTTGTACTTCCTGGTAATTCCCAAATTATAATGTCTCCATTTGTACCACCTAAAAGATTTAAAATAATAGAAAAAATGATCTTTGTAATAATGTAACATATTCTAACATTAACATACCAGAGACTACTTCTTTTCCATTGTGCATAATATCAAATTGAATTCTCTGATTTGTATCAGAGTGACGTCCTTCAAGTGAGTAAAGTACAATACCTGGATTACGAAGATCCCAGCATAAAAATTCATTATTACGTCTAACTACTGAAAATAATTTAGTTCCACAAGGACTAAATTCAATTTGAGTCACGCCACTTTCTGTTTTAAAAGTACATAACGGCCCATCTTTATATAAACCTAAAAAGAGTTTTATTAATATTTATGATGCTAATGATTCACCAATGTCATTATCATTTATTTATTCACTTGCCAATGTTTTTAGAATATGTTCCAAAGCCAACTAATCCTGGCATAAGTGGATTTTCTCGTATGCAAGAAACTAATCCTGTTACATTTGGAAACTCTCTCTTAAATAAAATAGTATCTGTTTGTCGACCTGGATGTTCCATATCAAACATTCTTAAAGCATTTTTGAATCCAGCCCACACTTTCTTAGCAGAATCAACAAATTGAATACTAATTGCAGCTTCTACTTCATCAACTCTAGCAACAGAATATAAAATATAAAATCTAATCAAAATCAAATAAAAATATAATTTAACAGTATTGGGAAATTTGTGATATTAACTGATTGTAAGCTCGATATGTTGCTCTTAATTCACCATTAAAAGCATCCCATAAATGTATAGGACTTTCTCTACTTGTACTTAAAAAGCAACAAGTTGCAGGTTCCCATGAATTCATAAAAGGATACCAACAAGTATCATATATAAGTCCTCCTTCTTTTATTGTTAAAGCTGCTGAAAGTTTTGTGGATGACAATTCTGGAGGAATTTTTTCAGAATATAATTCTTTAGGGAGTTCATAGATACGAATTCTAAAATCTTCAGATGGTACTAATAAACATGTTCCATCAGGAGACCATTGACAACCCTTTGTAAAGTTTTCACATAAATCTGTTGGTTCATATTCTGCAGTTGCTTCACATAATAATCTTGGAGAATTATTCCAATTATAATAAAACCGATTTGTTGGATATGTTACTTCAGTATTCTTTATAGCTTCATTTTCCTTAGTATCTAGCAAGTTTTCTTTAGTTTGTATTTCTGATATTTTCTCTACAATATTTTCCTCTGATTTTTCTGTTACGATTTCATCTACTAATGTTTTATCTGACTAAAATATATAATATATAAATTATTTTATATAAATTCATTAAGAAATATATTAATTTAAAATTTTTTTAAGACTTACTACATTTGTAACAGCTTCCAGATTTGTTTCTATACTTTCATAAAATTCCATACTTAATAATAAATGAAAACATTAATTCATTGCTGCAATATCTGTAATGTTATTGATTTGCGAATTATTCAAATAATTTTTGTCTATCGTAATCAATTGTCTAAACAACTTAGTATTACTAATGCTATTATTGCTTTTATATGTGCTATGGTATAAAACAACATTATTTCAATATATTAAATTCTAATGTCATTAATACAAGTTATTATTTCATAAAACTTGAATTAATTACTTTATACGTAAGATAGAAACTAATTTGGCTAAATCAGACATAAACATTGTCACGTAGGGAATTTTATTTTTACATAACTATAAATTACCAGAAAAAAATTTCAAGTATCAATTCTCAACGATCAATTGTGAAACTAGTGTAATAAAATTCAAACACATATAATTTATGATAATAATATGAAGCATATAGATTAATATACATTCAAGTTTTTGCCACTTTTAGTATAAATAAATTTAATTACATTTTATGACTTTTATTTTTATAATAACAACAAGTATTACTCTATTATAGATACCGAAAAATTTCAAATGGTTTTTTAGCATTATTTGGGTGGCTGCCATGTGAATCATGAAACGAACGTTATTAAGAAAACAATCATTTAAAACGGTTCTTTCGAAAGTTGACATCTCTCTTTATACTTTGACATCTTTAAATTCATAAAATCTGGGTAAAATGTATTTAGGATCCAAAATGCATTTTGAACCTTTGAACCAACAACAATTAATTCTAATTCTATTTGAAGAAATTCTACGGAACCTACATTTTTTTTGTGTCCTCGGTGAAAATTCTTACAATCCGTGCAGGTATACGTAATTACAGAAAGAAAATATAGTACCAGAACGAAACTTTTCAGATTTCCTGACACTAAATACGAAAGATTTGTGATTTGGCATTAAAGGTTTAAATCATAAAACTTTACTTACTTTGCCTAACACATAGGCACCGTAAACCGTTTATCTGAGTGCAGAATATAGAATATTTGAGCGTAAATTTATCTAGAGAATAACAGTATGTATATATTCAATATATTTGATATAATTTATGTTGCAATTTTGAAAAATGAAATATACATGTTAATTTAGTATTATAGATGACGTTTATTATCTATTAATAGAATTATAATAACGTTTTCTCGACAGATTGCAATTCTTTGCTTTGCATCTTATCTTCGTCCTAAGCTAAATATATGACTAAATATATGACTAAGTAAAATTTAGGCACAATAATCTAGCAAATTTTTACAGCTAATGAGTGCTTTCGTGAAAATTCGTAAATGTAAAGTTAAATAGAATTGCTAACATTTCTTAGTGACATACCTATTTAGCGCATGATAGCGTTTTCTTTTTCTTTTTATTTATTTGCTAAATTTTTTATTCTGCTTTATTTATTTAAAAAGAATCTCATCACTAAATATCGTAAAAATTATTTTTGAAATTATGAAAAGTTATATCCAAATTATCACTCGAAAATTTCTGATTTAATTTATAAAAAAGTAAAAACAACATCTATATTTTTAAGAGTAATATGTATTTATGAGAGTAACATATTATTTTAAAATTTCGAAATTTCTTTATAAATATGTTATTAAAACTGATATTATCTTAAAAGATTTTAACGGTTCAGAATTCAGTACTGTTTATGAATCTTTGTGAAACTCTCCTTATACCTGTCCTCACCACTTACCGAATTACAACCCAGTCTGTCCTTTCCTTCTTATATTGTTAAGCTGATGGTAGGTAACTAACAATTTAACAAACCATTAGGAAATATATTTCTGTCATAGTAATATTCACATTCATGCATTTTATAATAGCTTTCTCATAAGTAATAATTTTTATATTCATACAGTCTTAAAGTATTTTATCCAATTAAATTATATTTCAAATTTTTTTTTAGATAATATGTAAACATGATTATATAAACATAATTTAACATTTCGTATTTTCACATTTTTCATGCTATAATTTATCTATAACTTAAAATATTCCTGTAATTCAAATATTCAATAATTTATAATTTAATTTCTTCATGTAAAATACTAAGCATTTCTTTTATTCTGTTTTTTAGGATAAAAACGTGACGGACGTTTAGATAATTTTCATTTCCTTTATCAAGTATAATTTATAATTTGATGCGCAAAACCGTTACCATTAAATTAAATTGATGAATGAACGAATTTACGACATACAGTACAAGAAAAGGCGTATTAAGATATTTACGTAAGTGGAAACCGTGAATTTTAACATGAGGGATGCCATTCACGCGCTTAAATGGCGCACGCGCATTTCACAATTGCGTATAGGAAACACATAGAGAGAATGGGGAGGAAAATCGAGAAGAGTAGCTAGAACGTCGATGAACGAACCTCCCCCGCACGGTGGTCTCTTTTGGCGCGTGGGTGCTTCCAAGGTCATCGCAAGAGCGAAACTGCTACAGCGCCTTCATCGCGACGCCCGCGCATAAAGCGTGGGTGGAGAATATATACGCGTGTACTTAGCTAGCGCTACACACCGTTTCAATTCACCGAAACTGGTCCATTCACGAAAGCTTCTGACCTTTCTTTTCTCGAAAATTCACAGGACACATCAAACATCACAGTTTACGTCGATTGAAACTTTTAAAAATATTCTTTACAAAGCGAATAATTTGAGACATATTGAGTTTTACTATGTAACAAACATTGACAAAAAGTTTTTAACTTTCGTTCTGAAAAGTTCACTGCATCGCGTGTTTAATACTGTGGCTATTGATGGAAATTGCGATGTTGATGATCAATTCATTATGATTGGAGAAAAAGTTTCATATACAAAATTTTACATCCTAAATTTTTAGAGTTTCATTGTTTTAACTGCTTGATAAAAAAAGACAAAGTGTATTTTTAATAATTCGAGTAATTAAGATAATTTTAATATTATTAAAATATTTTATATTTCCAGGGTTTTCATTTTCAAAATTATTGACTACAGCGTTAATTACATTCATAATTCATATACTTTATTATTAAATTATGAATTTGTTGCATTATGCTTCTGACATCAAGCATTATTTATTCATACTGAAATACGTAAACAATTGATAGAATGTATTACGTTCAATAGGAATAATGTTATTATATATCTATCCAACTTTAATGAAAGGTAATTTATTCGTAACAGTATGGGATATAATAATATGATTTAAATTAATTTTACTTTAATGTATGCTTATCCAATTTGAAACAATTACAATTTACTTAATCATATAAACTATAAATTAATATGTTATATATTTTTAAAAATATGAGTACGTTTGTGCATATTACATATCTTTTTATTACAGGAAAGAATTAAACGTTCGCGTAGACATGTATTTGCCAAAAACAACAAATTTATCCTCTCCTTCGCAATCCACCTACATTTACACCTACGTCTGTACAACGACATACTTATATATACACGTGTCACCCTGTTTTCTGCAATCTACTAAAAAATTTTAATCAATCTTTGTTTCGAGAAATCGAAAAATTGTAGAGAGGGGATTATTTTTATTCATATTTTATTTTTATTCTTAAATAAAATTTACATAACTTTATAATAAAAATCCAGATGTTTGTGCAACCATATAGGTATTATAATTTAGTATTATATTTTAAATTTAATTTATTTGAATATTCTTTATAATTACTATTTTGTTGAAATTATGTATTAAAATTATTAGAATTATTAAAATTATTTGCGAATTTCTTTTAAGAATTTAAGTTTCAAATAAATTTTCTGTTTCTTTTTCTTTAATAGATTACAATGCGTATTAAGATCAACAGTATTGTAGGGTAACATCCAACACATCATCAGTTAACTATTTTGTGCAATACTGTACTGTAAGAAATAGTAAGAAAAATTTCAATTATATGTTTAGTAAGTATAAGATGATGTAATTCAATGTAATTCTGAAGCGAAGTAGGATGAAATTTGTAATTACTAGCAAAGCTTACAAGTTCTATCTTTTACATTTTTTAATTAAATTTATTTTTTAGTACTAATGTTGTATCAAAGTATTCTCTTATTACTTTAACATTTTACAAATTAAATGAAAAAGAATATTTTCTGACATGTACGATCTGTAAGACAAAGTATTCCTTTTTTTTTTAAAAATTATGAAGTTCCTGTAAAATTATTGTTTTCTCTACCATTGAAAAGTTAAAGTTGTTTTTAAAATAAGCGAGCTGAAAGCATCATACGAAAAGAGGTGATATTAATTTTCTGCAGCAGTTAACCTTTAGACGGTTAATTATGCTTTATAAACAATTTGAGAAACTCTCCGCGTTAATTCTTTACTAAATATCCGACGAACTTTACAAGCAAACAACATTTCATTTGCAGAATTTTACATATTTGGTTTCCACTGAATCCTAATTTCCCGGGTCCGACCCAGATCCTATAAATGATACTTCCTGTACAATGTGGTCATATCAAAGGAGAAAGGAGGGGAGTGTGTGATAAAGCTCTAGGAAGGGAGGAACAGGGTGTTCTCGATCGTTAAAGCGCTACAGTGCCCCGCCACGTGATCCTCACGCCCAAGGTACTCATTCATAAACCTGAAGCTGCGCTAATTTTTCATACGTCAATGTTCTTATTAATGACGATCTTTTGAAAAGCGAATCTTAATCAATTCGTAAATTGATTGTGCGCGAATTATATAAAAATGTTTCTCCATTACATCATATTATTTATGTCTTATGTCTAGTTTTATTTTTACATGTTAACATTAAGGGAGATTACATATTAATATCAAGGAAGAATTGCCTTTGTCTTGGATTAAATTATTTTATATTATGTAAAAATATTACAATAATTTGAATTAATATTTCTGTATTGAGTAATACAGGAATGCAACAGCTCGTTCCACTCACGTATTTATTGTATTATATATTTACTTAATATGTTATCATCATTGATACATATAAGCATTTAAAGAAATTAATTTTCTCGATAGTTATTTCAATATTAAGTTTGGAAGGATTTTTTTAAAACAGTCTAATTTCCAATACCAAATAATTATTTAGTTTGTTTATATGCACGATTATTATTCTGTTTAGATAAATTGATGAGAAAAACAGGTTCATTATTCATGGTTTCTTCTTCTCTGTTTATATATTTTTACGTCAATAATTGTAATATATGCGTGACTGAAATCGATATTTATTTACTCGTTCAATGAGGAATATAATAATAAAATTTGCACATTTAACAGAAACGCAATTTCCACAGAATGTTAATTTTAAATCAATCTATAGATGTTAATAATACAAATTAATACAATATTCCCATAAAGAATATACAATACTGAAAAAGTAATTTCATAAAACGAATTCGCATTATAAAAAAAAAAATTGAATAAAATAATATTAATTTATTCAACTCTCGGCCAGAAAGACCAATAAAATCGTGTTTAAATATCTATACAAATATACTTCACAACAGAAATCAGTGACTGTGTGTAATCCCCATGTGTAATCAAAAAGTTTGCACATGGATCCAACGACATGAGTATCGAATCATAAAGAGCTACCAGGTTCTGTTATTTAGTTAGAACAATCGTTACCTAAAAATCGTGGACGATCGTAATGACACCTGTTTCTTTGTAGAACGGAAGACCTGATTTGTCTGATCAACCCTACATTGGCTGAAGGTCATTGTTGGAGGGATATAAATAAAAGTAGAGTGGCTGTATGACTGTGACTGTATAGCTGGACTCCTCTCGCATTGAGCGGTGGGCTCCATTCATGATTTCGCGGCGCACGCGTCTTTCCACCCCTTGGTATGGAAAACTCTTCTACCGACTATGTAGGCGCTGGACTACGTAACTGCATGCACACGTATGCTCTGGTGAAGGTGGCCTACGATCAAACTGTCTGCGCCCTGGAATGCCGTCACAGTAATAAGTTTCATCCCTCGTAAGAAAAGTCCGAAAATATCGATCCACCAAATGCCACGTACGTATATTACACGAGTGCAATTGTTCCGAATGACTCCTCTAGTAGTGACGTATACGGCGTAATCGTGTTTTCCTCACTGAAAACTTTTCATCTCTTGTGTTTGTTCGCATACGATCGCTACATCATTCTCGCATTAAAATCATGCGTGGATAGGAACAGGCTTCTCTGCTCTTCCTCATTGCTTGGTCATTCATTTATTCTGCACCTGGCGAATAACACGTTCGACTGGATCCCAAGCTTCATTGCATATGGATACATATTGTTGCGCGCTACTACTTCCGCGTAGTCACATTGACTACTGGAAGAGCCCAAGGCGCCGGATCTCTTTCAATTCGATTCCGAACAAATTATGAACTTTAACGATGATTCTTCATGACATGATACATGATATTAGTGATAGAGATAAACTCTAATCGTTTGACGCAAATTGCGTATCTTACGTCCACGTGCGGGAACGTTGAATCGGGTGAAAGTAGAAGGAAAGGGGTGGTAAGGAGATGGGATGAGAGAGATAGAGACAGTAGGTATTGTGTATTGGTTGTCCGAACGTAGAGAAAGGATAGTGCGGGGGTGTGAATCACCAATTCGAATCTGGGGGTAAAAATACATTCTCTCGATTGGTCGAGGAAAGCTCGCTTGCCTGGCGAAATCAAGTAGAGCGGGGCGGCAGAGGAAAAGTGACGTAGAGGGGCAGAGGGTGCTGAGGGATTCGAGTTTCAAACGGGAATTCAGTCAGATGGTTGAATTCGACGGATCAGTGTAGATCGGTGTCTTGAGGTGGTTAGTTTAACTTCGGTCTTCTCACGTGTGATAGTCAATTTAGTGTCTCCGACAGAAGTTAAGCGTGAATTCGACTGGTATTCAACGAGTAGAAAATTAGAAGATACGAAGAAAAACAAATATTTTCCTCGCTACATCGGAACACGTGCTCTGATTTTATATTTGATTTCTTTTTTTAAATTCTTTCTTTTCTGTTGTAATTATTATCGACCGGCATTGGTGAAAATCAGTTCCTCTTATTGAACATTTTTCGTTGGAAGGTATTTATTTTGTTTTAATACTTTAACGTATTTAATACTTTAACGTCTCTAGTTTCTTTAATTTATTTCTTTCCTGTTTGTTTTTAATTGTTTAAATGGAAATTGTTAGATAAAAAGCATAAACGATGCTCTCGAAGACGTATACCCGCAATGGAACGAAAGTAAAAACGATCTCATCGATTTCTTGATTCTCGGTCAATTTAAAGGTATTATTACAATTGTTATGGTCGAATAGAACGACATAGAACTGTAATTAGAAATTTGGCAGTTGCTTGTTACTCGGGTCGAACATGTGTTCGTTTACATTCTCGTATTTGTGTGATAAAGTGCTTTTCTTGGACGACATTGAAATTCGAACGAGAGGGAAAGTATCTACGACGGCGCTGTCCAACGACAATGAAAATGAAATTTGGAAAGTCGTATTCGTTTTCATTGGTCCGCTAAGTGCATCTAAATGATACTTCAACTTTTCGTAACTTTTACAATTATTTTTCAAACAAAAATGCAACGGATTTATATTAACCATTCTCTATTTTCTTTATACAGCTTTACAGTTTTTTGTTTAATATAATTTAAATACAAGAAACTTTTTAAATGAACAAACTGAATTATGGATTGTGTTGTAGGAAATTTCAAAAATTTAACGGAGGTGGATATTATAGTAAACTGAAATTATGAACAATTTATAGTTTATTTATGTATATACACCCACATAATGCTCAATAGATGCGCACGCGCATATGTTTTCTCTTATCTAAGAAATAAATCCCTTTTCTTATAGTTATATTTACGCTTTGTTTATTGGCAGTACTTGTTCTATTTCAATTTTTAATATTTTGTAAATAAAAATTTAATTGGTATATTCAGCTATATTCTGTCTGATATATACGTAGCATTTGTTAAGGTTGTAAATAGTAAAAATTTATGAGTTTATTTATTGTATTGGTGAATATATCGAAAAACCACTTCACCTTTGATTTTAATGAGACTTTCCTTAATCGCTTTGTTACAACGTGTACAAATAATGGTAAAAATAAAAATATTGCGGTCGGACCGCAATGACCTTGAAAAAAATATGTAATTTATCAACAAGCTATTTCTTTTCGTAGACTATATTATCGCTTTAGTTTAAAATGTACTACTAATATATAAACAAAAGAGGAATTCAACCGATCTTATTTTTTATTCTTTCTGTTATTATACTCTGTTATATTTGTACGTTATAACAAAGCGATTAAAATAGATCTTATCAGAGTCCAAAGTGGAAAAATGTCTTTCGACGTTTACTATTGTTTATTATTTTCTTGGTACATTTTAAGCATGGTGTTCTGTAGAATATTCATACAATCAACATAGAAAATTTTAATAATAGAACATAAATTTAAGATTAAAATAACAATTGTTCATAATTTCGCTTATTGCTTAAGAGCAAATTTGAGAAGCAATATTTTATTAATATTTATTTCAATTCTAATTTATTTATTAATTAATCTACCAAAAATAAAAGTTGTTGAATCTCATTTATAAATATACAATATATATATATAAAATTAATCTATGAAAAATGATGCAAAATTCTGAAGATAAATATATAATTTTAGGAAACAGTTCTGAATGTTTTTTTTTGCAAAAGAAACATGCTATTACGTATACATTTAATAATCCAAACAGACAATCTTGATAATTTTTTTCCCACCCTTTCTTTGTCACGTTTCTGTAAAATGTAATTTCAAATTTTAAAAATGAATTTCGCACAAAATTTTTGCAGATACCTCATAAAATAATGTATAATGTATATATAGTAGTTTATTACTACCTGCGTTTACGATTCTTCAGTATTTCTTGTTGCTACCCGTCTCTGGGAAAGATCTTAGAAAATGACAGATACTTCACTTTTTCTTTCTTTTCGATCCCCGAAAAGAATAGCAAGTCTAACCTTGGTCGTCATGGCAATTTCAAGGATAGCACCCCCTAACTGCTGCTGGAAAAACGGAAAAAGGGAAAGTTTGCAGACCAAAACAAGCGCTTTCGGCCGAAACTGTAGTAAACCAAATGTCCTTCATAGAAAAGCCATCTGTGATTCTGACATCTTTCAGTCATACTGAAAGAGTTTTTATGAAACATTAAAACAGTAAATTTTGCATCATTTTTCATTATGTTATTGATTTTATTAAATTAATATAAGCATACAAAAATTATGGAAAGATATATTTTTAATTCCATCCAAAATATTTTATTAATTCCATCAGTAGATTTTTTAAAATTCTAAAGTAGTTTCATGGTAAGAAAAAATACATTAATATATACTTCTCAATTACTGAAAATTATTACTACGTTTTATATACTAGTAATTTTTATAAAGAAACAGATGATTGAAATAGAATATTATAAAAAGGTAAATGAATCAATGAAAATTCGTAACTAATTTTGTATATTAAATGCATATTATCTCTATAATGTTATTCATACTCTCTTTAATTATAGAATAATTATGTTACGTTTAATCTATAAAGAAATATTTATGAGCATGAGACGTGTTTACAGGATATTGAAGTATAACAAAATTGTTATATAAATATAATACTGAAAATATTCTATTATATTAGTTGATGGTCATTTATAATAATAAGTTCCTTAAAATAAAGTTCTTTTTATCAACTTCTTTCTGATTTAATTAATATATTTATAATTATTTTCATATAGTTTATTGCTTATTAGAGTTTAAATTTTCGATAAATTATCAAGCAAGTTATTAGCAGACTATTAATATTTGAGAATAATTAATCTCTACATTTTATGCCGAAACATTCGGCAAATACGATATTATCGTAAAACTTTAACAAACAGTTAATAAACTTAGCTTTTTACATGAATGATTCATAAGTCATTTTGTAATAAATACGTTCAATGATTGACATTTTTTTATTACGTAATTTTTGAAATATAACTAAAGAGAAACACGTTTACTTTGAAAGAATATTTATCATACTTTATTAATTACTGCTTTAGTAATTTCTAACTTCTGATGCAACCGGAAAAATACCTTCTAAACTGGCACGAAATTCGCATTAATTTCGATAGTTTGTAGCATAAATTACTTGACAGTAATGATACAAGTATAATAGAAAATAACATAGTAATAAACATGCAAACTAACACTTAAAGAAATATAGACAAAATACGTAATCTCCATCAAGCTATATCGTCTCATTAAAAAAGATAATTTTATCCCATAAAGCAATTTCATTCTTCTCTTACTTTTTTTTTTAATCATTTAATTTATTACTTTTTTTCAATCAAATAATTGCACCGTACCTACTAGTAATGAAAAAAAATTCTAGGAATTTGAAATCATTTATAATGAATTATAGACAAAGCACAAAATTCGATAAATGTTACAATGAAATAAAGTTACGAATTAGAGATGCCGTCAAATGAGTTTCGATATTTCAATAGCATATTAACGGATTGAAAAGTTACGATTAGAGACTGACTGATTTCAAATCACATAAACAGCGATATGTATTTATGTTGAATTTCCTAATGTTATTGATTTCTGCGAGATCCCACCAATGGAAGTAGAACCCTACTTCTCGATCCCCAAACTGAAAAGGGTATCTCGGTTCTTCCCTGTTGAGGACTTGTACGATGACCTTGAACCAGCTGTGCAGGGGTGTTACGGCTTTGAAACTGGATCAAAGGGCCATCCGTGCGATTCAAAATCCTTTTCCGTTGACTTCTTTATGAATTGATTTCTTCCTTGATTGATTTGAGTTGCTAATTATGACATTGCAAATATATCGGATATTTACAGTATCATAGGCGACATTTATTGATACATTAATTTTTCAAATTATGCATAGGATAATCCCAACTTTTTCTGGTCAAGCTTTTCTAATGTGTTCTAAGATTTGAATAAAGATTTAAAAAAAGAAGATATGTTATATACATATATAGATATTGCCTGAAGTTCCATTAAAAGATTATAAGGGAAACGTGAAATAAAATTTTTGGCGAACTTATGGGGGAAGATCACTCCATTTTGGGATTTAATGGACTTTTTTAAATCGCTTTGTTATAACATACAAGAAAAAAAAAAAAGAAATAAAAAAGAGATCAATCAATGGTCTTTAAAAAGAACAAAATAGAGTTACAAATTATGTACTTCTCTTTACAATTTTCTCTTTTCAATATCATTGCTTCAACCGAATGCTTTTTTTTCTTTTTTTTTCATTGTTTATTATAAATATATATATATATTTCAAAATAAGAATATTTTCAGAAATAAATTTTCATTTTAAATTTGTGAAGAAATAAACATTATCAATTTTTTAAAAGTATATTGTACATACGGAATCTTATATTATGCTCGTGACGTACTTACATATGTACGTAGGAGTCGAGTGTAAATCAGAGTACAGTTACTTTGCAATGGGGCGATATAGAAATAGAATGATTACATAATGGTAACAATGACAATAATGATTTTGATTTGATGATTTATTAAATTATTAAACACTTAATGTTACGATAGGTTTTTTTTAAGGAATTTCATACATTATTATAATAATTTATATAAATGTAAATTTACAAGTTTTATATTTCTATTAGAAAAATGAAACAGTATCATGAATTATTTATTGAAAACTTCGTCCAAAATGAATAGTACATTAAAGAAAAGAATAAAGGAGAATATGTCGATTAAACTGAATTAATTTTAAAATCAGACTTAATTTTAATCATTTTTTGTTCTAGATAAAACTGTCACGTCAAGACAACAGCTCCATATCGAATTTATCGTACAGTATTAATTTACGACTATCTTACAATGGATAATGATAAAAGTTATAATCATGGAGCGGATTTTTTTGGAAAATTCCCCCAAGACATTCCAGCAACGGAATCAAATACGAATGCAGTAGATCTACTCTGTACGAAGGTACTAAATTTGTTTCTTAATTTTAAAACAGTAAAATATTAATTTATTAAATTCTTCATATTGCGGCTTTGTACTGCTTTAAATGCTTTATACTGCTGTGATGATTTATTATGAAATACAGGATTTTTATTCTATTATACTCATTGTTAGATAAATAGATAGATTTATTTGTTTCGGCTTATAATGCCAGGAAATGGACTCGGTTTTACATTTAGTATATTTTACGTCTCTCATTCGTCATTCATTTCGTTATAGATGCTATACTTAATACAGTATAATATAATATAATCTCACTATTATACTTATATATTCTTATATATTCTTCGATTTGTTACATACAGACGCAGATGAATCCATTGCCAATTACCCATAATTCTAATGCTAGTTCACCGGGCACTGGATCATCTGAGGATAGTAATTATCAAATTCACTCAGATGAGTTTGGTGTAGATTCATTACTTAGTACTATACTACAAGTAGTGAACGGCGATTTCAATGTACCGACTTCTCGCAATACTCAATTTTCACAATTCAGAGATTCTTTTCACAGTAGATGTAAAGATTGTATTGACTCGATATGTTCATGTTCTACAAATCTACAACCTCGTGTAAGTATATTTTGATTAATTTCTCCTAAGTAGTTAAATACATTCTATATGTAATTTTTCGTTTAAAATTCGTTGTAATATTTTTATCAATAATTTATAAAACACTCAGACTTCAATATAGAGTCTGTTATCAAAGACATATATTAATCAAAATATTTTTTCTCTATTTAACTATAGTAACTATTAACTATAGTATAGTAACTTGAAGAGGAAATTATTCAATAAAATAATTAAATTTAACCAACGACGTGTACAAATAGGAAAATATTATAAATATGCTGAAAAAATTATTTCTTTTTCTTATACAGAATATACCGAACGGTGACTACAATTTTCTTAATGCATCGGAAATAATGAATCCTCCAATCATCAATAATTCAAGTTTCAATTTTAAAACTTTACCCATGCCTTGCGAGATTCATCACGAAGATCCGCAATTTTACTGTCAAACCTGTAACAGACCTATTTGTGTTAAATGTGGATTCCAACAACATCCAGGACATATTATGATTAATTTCATGGAAGCCGTTGAAGTTGCTAGCACTCAAGCGAAAGAAATACTGAACGAAGCTAAACTTGGAGTTTCAGCTCTTAGAGAAGAATTAGACGCTACGCAGGTAGCATTTCTTTTGTAGAAATATTCTCTTAAAATGATATTATTTTTGTAATGTTATCCTTTGAGAAGTTGCTTTAATAATTGATCAATACTTTGCATTAAGAATATTTAATGTTATTAACATCTATATTAAAATATAATTAGATAAAATCTTTCAAAGAAAAATTAAATACAGGGAATTCGCCAAAATAACCTACACTAATATACTATAAAATGTATTGTTTACTTTACAGATGGCGATAGAAATATTAGAGCAAAAAACGCGACAAGCAGCTACAGATGTAATGTTGTGCGTAAGAAGAGTAGCTGCTGCTTTAGAGGCGAGAGAAAAAGAATTATTAAATAGAATTGAAAAAGCTAGGATTATCAAATTCACTGCGCTAAAAGTAAGAAATGAAGGACTTCAGAATGGATTGGCTCGATTATCTATAGCTGTTGAAAAACTTAACGGAGCGATAGAATCAAATATTTTGACTAACAATCCATTAAACCTGTTGCTTACTAAGGACATGACTTCCGCGGAGGTATTAATTAATGAATCAAATTTCTCTAATATTTTTCAATTTTTTATTACTAAAAACCACTAATTTTAACAATATTAGCACAGAATATTTATCAACAAATTGATCATATTTTTCGTAATAAAGTTCTAATGTTATATAAAGAAACAAAAATCACTATAAATATTTTTCACAAAAATCAACTTTGAAAAAAATTATTCTGCAAATTCGTGAATTTTAATATAGTAACAAAAATTTCATACCTTTTCAACATTTTAAAATATGTATCCATATATCTAATGTGTTATTTTCATTGAATACAGGTATTTCAAATACAACAAAGTCGTCAGTCTCTTCCGTCGCAAGAAGAGAACTGGATTTCTTTTAACGGATTAGAAGCATCGATGTTAACTTCTATAGCGAATTTTGGAGTAGTTATAGTGAACAATCCAGGACCTATAGGCGATCGACGAGCTGTAAGAGGTCGTGGAAACTCACCTCATATTAAGCAAACTATTGCATTAAATTTGGGAATAGGAAGACCCATTCCTTCAAACACTTTTCCAGTTGTAGTTAGGACAAATCGCAATTGCGACTTGTCAATAAAACCTCTAAGAATCATTGGCAACAATAGTAATACAATGGATAATCTATGCCGACCTTGGGGTGTAGCATGCGACAGAGACGGACATATAATTGTTGCGGATAGATCGAACAATCGTATTCAAATATATAAACAAGATGGTCAGCTTATAAGAAGATTTGGTTCTCACGGTACTGGACCAGGACAATTTGATCGTCCGGCTGGCGTAGCAGTCGATGCACGTCGTCGCATAATTGTAGCTGATAAAGATAATCATCGTATACAGGTAATAGGTAATGAAAAAAAGAAAAAAAGAAATATATATATATATTTCTTCCTTTCTTTTTTTCTCATCATATATATACATATAATATAATGAATATGATTAAACAAAAATTAAAGATACTTCGTTAAAACAATCCTTTCATTAAACAATAACTTATTAAATTTTTGCAAAAAATAACCCTAAAAATAATGATAATATATAGAAGTATATGTATTTACCTCATCGCCTAGGTACCCGATATCATCCCTAATATCTATAACATGGACACTCGTCCATATCATCAGATGCTCAGTCAATACTTTCTTCAGAGGCCCACCCAAAGCACTTATACTCATCTTCCATTAACCTGGACTCATCATAATATTCCCCGCAGTAAATACAACTACCTTCCTTATTTTTATTATTATTATTTTCATTATCAAATAAAAAAAAGAGCAATCAAGCAATAATGGAATCATCCAACTCTCATCCAAAATTGGATATCCGATTTAATCCCATCTAGTATGCTGCTTCTTAGTATGTGATTTTATAAATAGTACAAATTTTTGAAAATATCATTTATATATTCATATCTTGATGTGTTACAAATAAGATATCCTATAATAAGAAATATTATATTAATAATATAAAATTATATTAAATAATATTAATAATTATATAATTAGTTGAAAATTAGATCACAATGCTCACAAAGTATCATAGAAAGTATCAACCAGAACAGAACACATTCATCGCTATCATCTTTTGTTTATGCATTAATTCGACAATGTATAGTTGTAATACCGCGGGGAAATTTTAAATTGTTTTGCAAATAATAATAGATCCCGATTTTCCATCTAATTTATTCCATTATCCTTTGATCGAACTTTGATTTGACTTAAAGTTTGAAAGCATTTAAATTGTTATTCGTCTTTAGTAGGATATCATTTAATTACAAAAATGCAGCTAAAAAAATGTATAATAATTTGATTCCATTATAAATTGCGATATAAATCATTAGATTTATTTAATTTATTTATTATTCAGAACTTACGAAACTAATTATTATTTTTCAGATTTTGGCAATGGATGGCTTATTCCTTCTATGTTTTGGTGAGAAAGGCAGCCGTTATGGTCAATTTAATTATCCATGGGATGTAGCAGCAAACTCCGAATGCCAAATAGTTGTATCCGATACTAGAAATCATCGCGTCCAGTTATTTAGTCCTGAAGGTATTTTTCTCCGAAAGTATGGTTTCGAATCAGTAGCAAGCATGTGGAAGCACTTCGACTCACCGCGCGGAGTAGCTTTTGACCCTGAAGGAAATGTTATTACTACAGATTTTAACAATCACAGACTCATTATCATTGATGCTGATTTTATGCAAAGCCGAATTTTTGATTGCGAAAATTCAGGTACTTCTAAACAATTTTTAAGACCGCAAGGTCTGGTAATCGACGACGAAGGCAACATTATTGTAGCTGATTCTAGAAATCATAGAATACAAATATTCGATTCGAATGGAATATTAAAATGGCGATTTGGTAATTATGGTAAAGCTGAAGACGAAATGGATAGACCATCAGGGATAGCTTTATGTCCTGATGGTAGAATCGTTGTTGTAGACTTTGGTAATAATCGAGTTCTTCTTATTTAAATAATCAATCGGCCGATCGGTTTTATAAAACGAAAAAGGACGAGTGCTAATAAACGTAAAGATTTAATCTGAAAACCCAAAACTACGGATTTTCATACTGTATACAATCAATTGGAAATATTATCTCCAACGCTGGCTATCTGCGAATTTTAAATGTCACGCGCAATATTTTCGTTAGAAGCAATATGTGCCTGTTCATTATACATATATATAAGCTTCTTTCTCTTTTTACTTTTATTTTGCATTCTTTAATTTTTTTAGGATATGGAGGATAATCCTATTGATTGTGTATAGAAATTCATTTTAAGTGCCAAGTACAAAAAAAAAAATATTCCTATTTAAACGATATGACTTAAAAATGAAAATTTTATTTATTTATAAATATACGGACATTGTTTTCAGGCAATTCACTAATTTTTTCAGAAAAATTTTCATTTATTTTTTCTATCTTCCTTTTTTATACTTGGTTTAAGTCGAAATAAGATAACCGAAGCATCAAATATTCGGATATTACATATAATCAGTAGAAAAGTATTGTTTTTAATTCTTCTTCGATTTTAAGCATATAGTGCCTAAGATCGACATATGATCAATGTTAGATGTAATATTTTCCTACTGATTGTACAGATATGGAAATCTGTAGATTTTTATCGAAACTTTCACTTTGTTTCACTTTATTTTCTCACTTGCCAAAGAACTAAAAAAAAAAGTAAATTAACTTTCTATTTTGATCATATCATCATATTAGTTATATCGCCATGGATGGGAATATTTTTCCTGTAAAGACAGTCACTACTGATACTACGACAACGTTCATATATAAAGTATCAGTATTGCACTCATTTATCAAAAATAGTATAAGTCAATTTTCTGCCATCATATTTCACTTACTGAAAGTAAATTTTATTTTATTTTATGTTTCTAGTATTAATAAATAGGTAGAAAATTGACTTACACTATATGCAATATAATAGTATGCAACATATTCAATACTGTCAAAGAATGTTACATTTTTTTTAGCTTTGCAAACAACAATTGTAATTATAACTTTGTAATGGTGCAACTTTGCGATGGTAAAAGAAATGTAACATTCTTTGATATAATTGAATTTGACAAAACTTATATTTCATGGGGGTACACTTAACGAGTGTAAACTTTAAATTTCAAGTTTTGTAAAATGTTTTTAAGTGTACACTCATTCGAGTAAAAAACGAGAGATGCATTAGATTCAAATTTTATTTAATTTCATTTATTATATACTATTTGTTATTTATAAAAAAATCATATATATATGAAAAATAGTTGCTATTTTTCACACATAGAAGGAATAAGATATAGAATGAAACATCATACAATGATTGAGATATTTTCTTTTAACATATACATATATACAGGGTGTTTCGTAACTTGTGGAACCCACTTCGGGAGCTGAAAAAAAAAGTCGTATAAATATGTCCTATTTGTCTTTGTTTATGAGATATAATAAATTTTCTGTTTTAATTACTTTTACAAAAGATGCTCAAAGTGACCACCTTGCATTTGAAGATAAACTTGCACGCGTCTTGTTATTGATCTGGTTCTATCATTCCTGGTGTTTCTCGAATTTGTCGGAAGCCTTACTCTATTGTATTTCGTAAATTTCAGCATTTTCAATCGATGTTGCGTATACAATAGATTTTATATGTCCCCACAAATGAAAATCTAATAGATGCAAATAGTTTTTTTAGTTAGTTTCCCATCCAATTAAAAATTTATCATTTATTCTTGCCCATACGTTTAAACTAAACTGGTGTTGATGTTTTGAATGCACAATAACATGTGGGTTTTCTTCATCCCAATTATGATTATTATGAAAATTGAATATACCATCCCTGGTAAAACTAGCTTACTAGAGTTTGCTCTGTTTATAAAATTCATTATATCTCATGAACGAAGACAGATAGGACGTATATTTATATGACTTTTTTTAGTTATTTTTAGGCGACAATTAGCTCGCGAAGTGGGTCCCACAAGTTATGAAACCTGTATATATATATCTCATTTTATTTTATAAATGTAATTATAAACTAATAATTTTTCGACATACATAAAACAATACTTTTTTTAATAGAGAATGATTTGCTGTATTAATTGATTTTTTACATAAATCGATAAAAAAATATTGACCTATTTTTATAGAAAAATTAATGTTTATAATTGTATTTATAATTGCTTAGAATAAAGGAGGTATATATAAATAAATACAAATAAATGTATATAATATAATAAAAAAATATAATGTATATAGTAATATACATAAATGTATATATATTCAAAGAAAATATCTTAATCGTTGTATGATTGGACACTGTTTAATAATGATAATAATAATGTTCATCTAAATGACAAACAATATATAATACAAGAATTTTAAAAGATATTTAACTATTTCTATAAATGAATATCTCTTAAGAAAGGTGACTTGAGAGTTACAGAATTTTTGAGATTTGCAATTTTTTGTGAATATGAAATTTTCCTTCTTTTCTTTGTATGCTGAAACCATATATATGAAATCTTTTTTTCTCTTAAAAAGAGCATATATATATGTGTGTGTGAAACTCTTTTTAGTCACAACGATAGATTGCATTAGTTTCTTTGCTTATTCCAACAGGAGATAATTATCAATAATTTATACAAATAATTAAACATCGATCGTTGTATTCTGTATTGTTTATCGTTTGGACATTATTCAGTCACATAACGAAATATCTTTTTTTAATATATATAAAGAGAAAAAAATTGTGTTAAATCGTAAAAAGAGTTTCATATAAAATAAGTAATTGCTCTTTGTTCTGTAGCTTATTCCTTCCAAAGTAAAGTAATATAAAATGGATTTTTAATCTTCTTGAAGAAACATGTATTATAGAAAAGCAAATACGGCATACATTTCTATTAAAAATAGCAACTATTTTTCATATATACACGAACTTTTTGTATAAATAATAAACAGTATAATAATAGATAGAATCTAATGAAAACAATTACTTTGTAAATATAAAACTCTAGTTCTTTATGATACACTAGAATAAGTGTACACTTAAAAATGGAATTTTACAAAAATTGAAAAAGTTTACATCCATTAAGTGTACACCCTTGAAGCATAAATATATATAAATGATTAAATAACAAAATGAGAATCTATTGAAAAGACAACATAACACAATTAAAAAATAACTTGAATCAAATTGTGTTAATCTCAATAAGTTCCTCATTTAATCATGTATGTAACTGAGACTGACATGGATAAGTTGTAGGATTATTATTTTTCATTGATTCGTTTTTGCATATTATAGTCCTATAACAGTAACTGTCCTTGTCAGTATCATAAAATAAATATAAAAGAGAAAAAAAATCTATACGAAACTTAATCTAATAGCATTAGTTGTCCAATCTGTCAGTCTTTAATGAAAGAATGCTGATATGGTCGTATTTGCTTTTTAGTTCAGTATTACTGAAATAAAGTATTAGTTACATTCATACAATATAAGACTGAACTAAGACTGATTTAACACAATTACAGGTTTTGTTCCTTGCTTGTTTTTACACAGTAAATAAGAGATTTGCATCTCTATATTTATTTTATTTTTGGACTTACATTGTCAAAAATATGAATATGCATGAAAGTCTAACTTTCAGATTTTCAGAAAAAATCTGTTTCAATTTCTTACAAAATGAAGAACATTAAAAAAGAAAAAAGAAAAAATGTTAAAGGAATTCAATTTTTGCACATTTTCTTATAGCAATGTTTTAATCCATTTATTACGCCAATCTTGGAATTCAAAATTATTATAAGAATTCTCTTTTTTATTTAATCAGAATTGAAAACTTTTAATGATAATTAAATAGAAACGAGGAGTCTCATAACAATTATGAATAGCGCATGTAAACACTGTTTAAAAATATTAATTATAATTAAAACTATAATTATAATCGGAAAGCTTTTTAAGATAAATGGGCTTAAATTAAGCAGACAAGAAGAAGATCGTTCTTGATTAACTTTTTACCTACGAAATAATTTGTTAATTATCTATATAAATAATTACATTATTTCTTTCAAAATTGATCCATATATAATAAGACACTTTGAATTCCAAAATTGGCATAGCGAATGAATTGTTATAAAAAAAAAAAAAAATGTAGGAAGTTACTTAAACTGCAATTAAAATTTTCTATTTTTTCTTTGTTTCTAATGCTCCTTATTTTAACGATAAGAAATTGAAACAGATTTTTTTTGGATAAATTTTTTGAATAAATGAACTTGCAATAGTTGATAAATCTTAGATTTAACGAACGTGTATGTTAAGACGTGATTATAATCATCATCTATTTTACAAATATTAGAAAGAATTATTAAATTTTGGGGAATTTTAAATAATGTTTATGGATGTTACTCTATCCAACTAATATTTCATCTTTTCGATAAATATACGTATATTGTTTAAATTTTTTTTAAAATAATTTTTTAACAAATTTTTTTTTAATATTTATTTTTTATCTAGTTTCATTTGTCTTTCAGAAACACATTTGTTTTTAATGCTTACTCATGATTATATGTTATTATAAATACATATATCCTTATTTAGATCAAATTTCAAGTTAAACAAAATTTATTGATATTCACGTGTTTATTTTATCATTTCTTCATGTGAAACATGGAAATATCAATGAAAGAGTTGATTGAAACATAAAATAATAAAATATAGATGATGAAAAGTTAATTATAAAGACTAGTTTTAAAAAGTCAATTTGTCGAGAAATGCTTGCTACGATATGCAATATCACATCATTTCGTATTTATATAACCTTATATTTTTGTTCTGTTTGTTAATTTTAATTAAAAATCATAAAGGTGAAGGTGAAGGTATTAAATATATAATATTACGATGAAATTATATTTTGAAGTATATGGGATAAGTTAATAAGAATTATTATAATTTCTGGACAAGGTGAGAAATTAGACTGTTCATTTCTCTTTGTAGTACGTAATGCGACACGAATCGATTTAACGAGATGTAAATTAACGCAAATGGGGATGGAATATAGAGGAACAATAGCTAAAACTGCTGGAAGCATTCGATGTCAATCTTGGTACGCGGAAGAACCAATACACGAGGTGCTTTTCATACTTTTAGTCGTACCTTTTGCCTACCTTAAAAATTATATTTTTATTATTTTAATTATTAATTAGAAATTAATCATAAATGCAAGTTTATTTTCATCTATTGTGAAAACTTAAATTTAACTAACTTACTTAAATTTAATAACTCTTTGTTCCTTTAGTTTTTAAATACTTAGATATATATTAAATTTAATAACTCTTTGTTCCTATATATTATTAAATTTAATAATTCTTTGTTGCTAGTTCTTAAATACTCAGATATAGATCAGAAAAGTCATTATTAAATCATTAATTCGGTTTAAAAAACCATCAGTGATATTTTGTGAACGTGATATATTAAAAAAATTTGTCATTTGTGATACGTAAAGATGTTTCATCAATTATACATCAGATGTATATATCAGTTATAATATAATGAAATTGAATCTTTCTCTCGTTTATATCTATTGTTCATCTAACTGCAAAAGTGATTACCGAACTGCGAATTTTTATGTAAATTCATATTTCTGAAAATATAATTAGAGAAATGAGGCAACGATAAGAAATTGTATTTGCGAAATATCATAGAAATTGCTATACTTTTCGTATTTTGCATATTTTTTTCTATATTATAATTGTTATGTGCAATTTGCTACAAATGTACTTAAAAACATCCGTAGTAATTGTTCTTGTAATCAATTTTGCCACCGATCATTAGCAGTATTATCTTATTATCATTAGCAGTATCATCTTTATATTGTATATGTACATACTGCTGCTTGATTTTATTTAATACGCTATGTGAGTGATTTTAAAAGTTATGTGAATTTTTGGCGAATATCCCCGATATTTTTTTTGTTAATTTCTCCGATAATCAAATTAAACATATGTCAATTGTGTTTCGTACGAGATTCACGAATTTTACGAATATGTATTTTACGAATTGTACGATTTTTATGTTAAAATGAAAATCAAAATTTTATTCTTAATTTTAGCCTTATCTATTGATGTTACGAGCACTAAAGTTAAAGTTTATATTAATAACGTATGTTCCATATAGTATTATTTAAATGTCAGGTTAGTAAAGATATAAGCGACGAGGATTTTCCCGAAAGATCGATGAAAATTGCGAAAAATTACTGCAGAAATCCAACAGGAGATAGCAGAGGTCCATGGTGTTATACTTTGGAACCTTCGCTTATAGACGACGAATGTGACATACCACTTTGTAATTTTGGAGGTAATAAATACACATATTTTTGATATTGCTGAAAGAACATCAGGAATTCTTAAATAGTCAATAAAAATCATTACAAGCAATATCGTACTTACAAGTTGCAAGCAAATTATCTTTTTTAATAAAAAAAACATAACATCAGAAAACAAATTGTGTACGTAATTAAATCCGAAACTTTTAATCATAAAAAATTTTGGAAATTATAAATATGGGGTATAGATGTTTGGAGAATAAATATAGTTCAACAGAGTAAAGGAATTAAGAATGCAGCAGAAGAGAATTAATAATTAATAATTTAATACTAAGATGCGATTTTAATGTAAAATTCCCCAAAAAGTTTCTTTTGCACGTTGGAATTCTATATGATGATCGAATAGAATGCAAACTATCAGGACCAGGAGCTGACTATGGGGGGACAAAGCAAATTACTACATCGGGAAGTAAATGCGTATCGTGGCATAAACATCATCTTGAGGCTGCCAAGGTATCAAATAAATTTAATATAATTACAATTTCATTGATTTTTCAACGATGTAAATTATTATTATTAGGGCCTGAAATTCGAGGATCGGGTTTTCTCAGATAGATCACGCAGAAAGGCTGAAAATTACTGTAGAAATCCTACTGGAGATGTCGGAGGGCCGTGGTGTTACGTCGAAGAAGAAGGTTTCGAATATTTTCAGAAAGAGTATTGCGATGTCCCATTTTGCGACGATAGAGGTTTTATTCTTTGTTCTATTGTATCAATTTATGATGATCTTTCTCGTCTTATTGTTTCTCTTTACTATACATTTTAGATTGTTTAATATTTACGAAGAATTCAACTAGTCACCCTATACTCACAAAATTGCGCGCAGCCAGTGGTAACACTTCATTTTGGTTCAAACTGTGGAATCCAGATGATGAAAAGAAGGTACGTACATTATTAAAACTTAATATTTTTTTTAGATACAGTTTTAAAAAAAATAGAGTATTAATCTTCAGTATTCTTTTTTTTATAGGTACATTAATTCTTGAAAAAAAAGAAGGATTTGCACAAATGGAAAATATTAGTGAGAAATTATCTCGAAGTTTAAATTTTAGTTAAATTCTGTCCTTATAGAAACGATACTCTGTATTCCTTTCTAATCCTTGTACACGCGTAATATAGGCACAAGTTAGCATATTGCTTAGTCTTTTACCGATTCCTGCTCCTGCTGAAACCGTAGCGGAAAAATGGACTGCTGGAGTTGAATTAGTATTTGCGAATTCTGGTAGTCGTCAAACATTCCCAGCAAATGTTAGTAACAACACATGTATTCTGATTACGTAGCGTGTAATTCAACAGCATTTTTCGAGAAATATTAGAAACGATATAACGTTAAAGTATTATATTAAGAAAGTATGTAAAATATTCGTAATAACGTAAAAAAAATAGTACTGTAAAAGTAAATAGCGTAAAAGTAAATAGTACTGTAGCGAAAGCGTACCATTAGCCTTGGATTAGCCTCAAGATTTAAAATCTTTTTTTGTTGTCCATTGAGTGTTTTCAATTTAAATACATATTTTTTTATTATTTATTCATTTAAACGTGTCAATTATTTTCTCCTTGCTTTCTATTCCTATATTTTACTGTCCCAAACGTCAGAGTTATTTATAATTTTGGTCAAGGAACGCGCAGAAAATGGAAGCTTGTCCTCAGTTATGTTCGTTGAATTAGGAGGAAGAGAACTTTGAAAATACACCTGAGATTTTAGTCGGTACGAAGTGGACGGGAATATGGATAACTTGGGGCGGTGGTTTTATTTCCGCGGGGATCGAGGGATCGCTGAAACCTATACTTATGCAGGAATATAAGAAGAAACGTGGGATCACGAGCTTGTATCCAGATACGTTCCTATATTATGGACTTCGAGGGACAAATGTTTTGTGCAGCACCACCTTTTGTCACGATCGTACGTTTTTAATAAATTAAAATTAAGAAAATATTATATGGAAAAAATACTGCCAATAATGTTACAACGGTCGAGTATTCTTGGGAATAATTGTCAATTTGGTGGTGAAGAAGTTTAAGTATTAAGAATTTATAAAATGTAACGTAACGCATTAATTCCTGAAAATTATTATACGTAACGAAATCACATAATATCGTCAAGCGTTACAGTGTTAATATCGAAGAATTATTTCATAGATAAGTTAACTGAGGCTTCCAAAGATTTAGAATGTTAACATATTTACTGTAGCGACGAGACGGAAAATGCAATATTAAATGCATTTTCAGATTGCGAGACGTATACAACATTTGGCATTGATTTCTCGCAAGTTTGGGCCATGCAGAAAACTAACGATACAATCGATGTACGATTTTTCGTTCGTGCAAGCCAAAACATACAAATACGTTTCTATCAAAAACCATCAATGGAATATCCCTCTGTTACGGTAAGTAAATAATTTAATATTCAAACCGATCGATTAACAGTCAATTTATATCCAAAACTATGAGTGAAAATTGTTAAATTCTCATATACAATTTTGATTCCAATGTTAGTTCATTTTATAAGAAATTAAATATCATTTCGAGAAATCCTCCGACCGATTTAATCGACATATTTGCGCAAAAATTTTTATAGTTTTATCGATGCATATTTTGCCATTAAATTCGTATAAGAAAGAAAGTTAAAGTTCTAATTAGATTCTAGCAATTGTAAAAGCCTACAAATTAATCCACCTGATTAGTTTCCTTTGCAAATAGAAATTTGCTCAATCTATGGCCATTCAAACACTAGCGCTGCGACGAGATAATGGATCAAATTTTCCCGCGTGCTAGTTTTAAAGAATAATCGCAAATTACCATAATAAATTCGTACATTCTTAATAATACTAAATAATAAAGTGAAAGCCTCAAACGAGATTCTTATATAGCTTTCAATATGATTTTCTGTTTATTTAATTACTAATAATTATTTCAACTGTTGTCTGGGCTTACGCGATACATGACTATGATTTTTTGCTACTATTGAGCTTTTAGAAGATTTTGGAAGCTCGTAATTTGGAATCGTAGAAGCTTCTTTAGTACTCTCTATTCCATGTACAAAGATTATTGATTAATTATCTGTTAATACAAATTATGCGAAAATTCATCGCGTCGGTTTTCCGTAGTAACGTCGCACGATGGATTGTCATGCAACAATAATTAATGACTGTTAATTCAAGCAACAATTCCGATACAAAACTATATGTGAATGTCACATGTAGTCTGGTTTTGCTTTCACGATACCAAAAGAGCATAATTTCAACCTAGAAATCCAGTAATTAATAAATATTCAATGAATTAGACGGAAAAGTACATGTGTCCTTGTCACGTGACGTTGATGTTCTTTTCTATACTCGAGTGCTGCCATCTACCGGAATGGCAAAACTTGGACTGAAAACTTGGAAATGTAACAGGAACATAGAATATAAACAGAGGTATCTCGACTACTGTTAGACAAGAAGCGCGATACTGTGCAAAAAGGATAGACATACGTGACGTAGGCAGAGAAGGAGGGCACTATCAACCGACAAGGACAGACATATTTCTCTTTCCAATCTGTTGAATATTCAGTAATTACTCGATTTTCAGAAACAATTTGTACACCTTTGGGATAAAGGAACAACGTGCAGGTCTCAAGTAACTTTCCTATGCAGTTTTTGATACGGGTTTTTGTTCAACTAATTAGTTATAAACAATTCTTTCAACAAGTGCCTGGACCTACGCGTGACTGTAATAAGCACGACCATGGTTTTTCATTAGTAATGAGCTCTTGCGAGATTAAAGCTCGTTATTTGGAATCGTAGAAGCTTCCTTAGACTCTATACTGTCTGTTTCATGTACAAAAATTATTTATTAATTTTTTATTAATCCAAATTATACGAAAATTCATCGCGTCGGTTCACCGTTCAACTTAGCACAACGGATAGGCGTGCAATAATCATTAATAACTGTTAATTTGAGCAACAAATCAGATACAAAACTACATGTGAATGTCGCTTGTAGTCTGCATTTTATTCCACGATTCCAAAAGTGCACGATTTCCACCTAGAAATCGAATAATTAATAAATATTCGATGAATTTGACAGAAAAGTACATGTATCCTTGTCACGTGATGTTGCTGTTCTTTTCTATGCTCTAGTGCTGCCATCTATCGGAGTGGCAAAACTTGGACTGAAAACTTGGAAATGTAACAGGAACATAGAATATAAACAGAGGTATCTCGACTACTGTCAGACAAGAAGCGCGATACTGTGCAAAAAGGACAGAGACACGTGACGTAGCAGAGAAAGAGGGCACTATCAACCGACAAAGACAGACATATTTGTCTTTCCAATCTGTTGAATATTCAGTAATTACTCGATTTTTAGAAACAATTTGTACACTTTTGGGATGAAAGAACAACGTGCAGATCTCAAGCAACTTTCCTATGTAGTTTTTGATACGATTTTTTGTTTAACTAATTAGTTATAAACAATTCTTTCAACAAGTGCCTGGACCTACGCGTGACTGTAATAAGCACGTCCATGGTTTTTCATTAGTAATGAGCTCTTGCGAGATTAAAGCTCGTTATTTGGAATCGTAGAAGCTTCCTTAGACTCTCTACTCTCTATTCCATGTGCAAAGATTATTAATTATTTATCTGTTAATTCAAATTATGCGAAAATTCATCCCGTCGGTTCTCCGTATTGACGTAGCACGACGGATAGGCGTGCAATAATTATTAATAACTGTTAATTTAAGCAACAACTCCGATACAAAACTACATGTGAATGTCGCTTGTAGTCTGCATTTTATTCCACGATTCCAAATGTGCACGATTTCCACCTAGAAATCGAATAATTAATAAATATTCGATGAATTTGACAGAAAAGTACATGTATCCTTGTCACGTGATGTTGCTGTTCTTTTCTATGCTCTAGTGCTGCCATCTATCGGAGTGGCAAAACTTGGACCGAAAACTTGGGAATGTAACAGGAACATAGAATATAAACAGAGGTATCTCGACTACTGTTAGACAAGAAGCGCAATACTGTGCAAAAAGGACAGATACACGTGACGTAGGCAGAGAAGGAGGGCACTATCGAACGACAAGGACAGACATATTTCTCTCTCTATTCTGTCGAATATTCACTAATTATTCAAATTTCAGGAATAATTCGTAAACTTTTGGAATCGCAGAATAAAGACTAAACCTTGAGCAAGTTTCAGACAGAATCTTGAGGTTGATTTTCCATTAAATAATCAGTTATTAACGATTATAGCGACACGCTTTAGAGCCGCCGCGTTGTGTGTTCTCAATTTTTTATTAATATTGAACTTCTACGAAATAAATTTAGATTTTGTATAATTGTGGAAATTTCTTTAAACCCTTTTCTTCATTCTTCATGCGTAAATGATCATAAACGAATTACGTGCGACGTAAATTTTGCAAAAATTCATCGCGTTGGTCTTTGTTGTTTGTTTGTTTTGTGAGGAGGCAACATGAAATGATTATTAATAATTAATTATCGAAACAGAAATTCCGAGTCAAAGTCATTCGTGAATATTCCTCGGAGTTTAATCTTCATTCTACGATTCCAAAAGTGCGTCAATTTGATCCAGGAAACCAGTAATTAACAAATTTGTGCAGTGATTCTAAAGGAGTGTTCGTGTTTCTTTCTTTTTTTGTATCAATCCAGTAGATGGCAGCATCGTCGCGCCGAAAATGACGTACAAGTCTTTAGTTTCATTGTTTCGCCGATACGTGGTGCTAGTATTCGGATACAAATCGAATAAATTTTCAGTTGTGAAAACAAAAGAAGGAAGAAAAGACTAATTAAGATTAGTTTGTTATAATCTTCTTAAAATACTGTTGCAAGATTCTAATTAGACCTTCGGCTTTCTTTCTTATACTTCGAAACACATAAACTTCACAAAACACATAAGCAACTATAATGTAAGTATGAACGATACTACTATTTGATCTTGACGCCTGATTCATTACTGCCAATAATTAACCAATTACACGGAAAGTCATCCCGTGACAATTGAAAATTATTCGAATGAAAACGATTTGAGACTCAGTCTTTCTAATACAATTTCTAGAATGGGTAAATTAACGAATATTCTATGCATTGGGAGAAGTATGTCTGTCCTAGTCATACGCTATCGCGCTTCTTGTTTCTCACGCGTACCGGGATACCTCCTCGCACGTTCTATATTCCCGTCACTGTTTTCCGAATTTTGGATCGATTCAACAGATGACAGCACTTTTGTTGTAGACGTTATTTGAAAAAGAACGTTGGTCAATTATTGTCAAACAAACGAACATTTCAAACACGTAAAAATAGATCGTTTAAATTATTATGTCATAAAAGATAATAATAAGCAAGGATGTTACAACACTGACGTATCAAGAATCCAAGGAGGCCACCAAACATTATTTAAAGGAAATTGCAATCTCCGATATGCTGGATTTTTGGTCGTGGAGGGAATTCAGTGTCAGGTTTTGATTATCAAATTTTCTACTTCTGTTTCATTTCTATTCTTCTTAGTTTTAACCGAGTGATTCTTTATGTTTTTAGTATTTTTGGGGGGCACTTTCGTTTGTATTCGCATAAGCACAGAGGTGCCATCGAATTACTCTACATGCATGAAATATTCTTTGCTGGCTTAAGATGGTTTAGCATTGGAAGTGAGAGGACCATAGCACAGTGGACTCTGTTTTGTTCCCCAGAAGGTAGCATTTCATAGTCTAAAACTTGTATTTAGATATTAATTTAATTAATACATGTTAACATGTATATTACAATTACATTAGATTAATTAATGTGTATTGATTTCAATTTAATGGTAATACAGCAGGATTGTACTTAATACAGAACACGATTACAAGAAAGTTATATTTAAATAGAATCAGATGCAGTAGAGGATGCCTGGCCACCGAATTGTATCACTGATATAAGGGACTTTCGATTCAAGGGCACACAATGGACAAGTATGAACGAAGTTCCATGTATTCCGTGGATATCAGAGGATGTAAGAAATCTATAGAAATTATTGACATATTAATTAAAAATAAATAATCATCTTGAAATTTGTGAAATATCACATACATACATGTGCATATTACTACTTATTAGTAAAGGTTTAGTAGATAAAACAATTTTCTATCTTGGTTCTGCAGTCTAGTCATAAATATTTTGATACTTGGAATTTTCACACAGTCATGCATATATTGTAATGTAAATTTATAATTATTTTTTTCAATAAGGTTCCAGTGGAGGACAAAAGTGACGCAAATTTTATCGACGGATCTGCTTTGAAGGCAGTTAATAAATGTAGAAATCCTATTCGCGATTCTGGTGGACCTTATTGTTATGCATACATCCCTTGGGAGAGTGTGACTATTTCGAAACAATATTGCCTGATTCGAAAATGTAGATCGTCAGGTAATTAATTACGTAAAAGAACTATATTAACTAACATTTTGGTTCGACGAACTCGAATCTGCTGTATTTAAATATATTGGAGTATGAAATTAATTTTGCTTCGTATTTTCCAGAATGTCGAATGGCTGGGACCGCGAACGATTACATGGGAACACTTTCGAAAACACGTTCAGGACGTCGTTGTGACAAATGGCCAATCAGACCCAAATTACCAGCGGTGCCCCAAAATGCGACGCGGCCCAAGTCTACTACCAAACCGCCTCGTATCAGATCTCCAAAAGTGGGGCCAAGCGTAGCAGTTCCAAAAGTCAAATTACCAGCCGGTCGAGATTACTTTAATGACAGCGTTTTTCCAGAAGGAAGTGTCAAGAATGCGAGTAATTATTGCAGGAATCCATCACGTAATATCGCCGGTACTTGGTGTTACACTACAGACTCTTTGGTACCGCAGGATCTTTGCAACGTTAGGGACTGCGAAAAACCAGGTGAATATTGTGACACGATCTAAAAAGAGGAAATTCTAATTCCTCTCTTTAAATATTTCAGTCTAAATCTAAAATTTAGTTCTTATATTTCAACGTAGAATAAAATTTTAAAGATTCTTGCTTATTGCAGAAATTTCGAATGATTAATTTTCTAAAGATGAGACACTAAGATTAATTATAATTAATGATAATTTATAGAAGAATATACGTTCCTTGCTGTGGGAGATGGCCTGGATAGACGTATATACGTTTTACCCGAATATCGTTCCGAAGGTTTACACTTTTCTGTGAAAGCTTGGGAACCGGATAATCCAGATTCTGTCGTGCTTGTCTTTTTAGCCGATGATGGATTAAAATCGCGTTATGTTCTGAAAATAGGAACAGCAGACAATGAAAAAGTGCTTCTCTTTTATGAATCGGAAACTACAGGTAACTAACGAATATACTCATCCAAATTTTCCCTCGAGTGATATGTTTTATTGTAAATGTATTATATTATATACTGAAAAATATGTATTATTAAAAAAAAGTGCGCAAAAGGAAAACTGAATAAGAAAAAGTTTTAATTAATTTGTTCTATTATTGAAGTACGATATTTAAGATCAATCTTTTAGTATGACTATTTTACTTGTCATGTAAAATTTATTTAATTACAGAGATTTCCTTAGTTAAGAAAAAAACTTTGCCGCATTTACTTTACGTGGGAAAATGGAGTAGCTTCATAATTCGTATACCACGCGGACAGTTTTTGCTTTTCTACGAAGATGATCCCACACCACTGTTTGAATGGTCTCATCCTGATCCTCCCAATGCTTTTCTACCTACATATTATTATTATGGTAGTGAACAAGGAAAAGCTGTTGGCTTCGCTTTCAATCATAAGTCAAGTATGTTCACCATTTATTAATCACTAGATATTAAAAATGAATATGATCATTATAATTGATTCTTTGTATAAATAGATTGTCATATAGAAAATACGAAAACTGATAGATATACCAGAATCTTATCATTGTCGACATGGATTGACAAAGAAATATTACTTCCTGAACAAGTGACTCTTCAACTTCGAGGACAAGGTACAGTTTATTTGCCTTTGTACCGAATGCCTGGCACTCCAGGGTAAGTTAATTTTATCATTTCTTCTGGCATACTTTAAATTTCACGTGAATAATTTTAATAAATTATGAGATATGATATAGTATATATACAATCTGATATAACAGTAAATTTCTTAATGTTATGATGTTATTTTAAAATTATTCGTCACTTTAGTAATTCCAGTTAGAACTTTCGTCAAACATAATTTATTAATATACTTTTCCAATAGATATTTTGTGCTCGAACTTAGTGATGCAGATCGTTGGATATTATTCACAAAAACTATGTATCCTAAGGTGACCATTTTCCACAAACAAAAGTTACGTATACCTTTATTTACAACAAATTCATGGACCAATATTACGATCAGGTAAAAATTAGTGCAAATATTGAAAAATACCAATTTATTGCAATAAAAGGATATAGCATAAAGATATAATAAAAATTTTACCATATGACATATGACATTTACTTTTCAAACTTCGCAGATGGTCTGCAAATACGATGAATATCTATTCCAACGCAACAAATGTGTTTCATTATCAGCATAACAGTCCTCTCATATTTTACTTCTTCTCTGTCGGAGTTGATTCCAAGAGCTGGGTCACTTGGTCTGTGAACTGCATTCCAATAGGTTTGTATTCTATTACTAAATATTTATACAAAAAATTTTATTTATTTTTTTTATTTCCAATTTATGAATTAAACTTTATTAAAAAGATATAGAGGGACCAGCAGTGGATGGTGGTTGGTCAGAATGGGGACCATGGGCGTGCAGTGTGAGCTGCAATGGTGGTACTGGTATTCGAAAACGGCATTGTGATTCTCCAAAACCTAACATTAGAGGAGAACCATGTGTGGGACCGAGTATAATGACTGGACGTTGCAACGAAATTCTTTGCGGCGATATAACTGAAGGTAAGTGTAAACTCAACGATTTCACTCCAAGGCTGAATGTTTACCAAATACATCCACTGACAATCAATGTAATTTGATTTTAATTTGATATCATATTTATAATATTGCGAACAGATACAATTAACATGATAAACCGACGAATCAGAATAAACTACACGGCGCTTACTGTTAAAGAACAACATCCAGTCACAATTGAACCTGATTCAGACATTGTTAAATTAATTACTACAGAATCTCCTCGTTCCGAATTGCAATGGTCCTTAAATGGTATCTTTGTGGAGGTGGAACCTGAAAGAATAGAGTTACAAGATTATAACATTAGTAAAGTATAATTTTTTATTTTCTTATTACTGAGAATTTGTCATTTAGAGATAATTAACATTTAAAATATTTATTTAGAGATAATGAGTGCTACTCTAAATGATTCTGGCGTTTATGCGATGACACTACGTCGAATCGATGGAACGTATTCGATTATTAAAGTGATCAGTTTGGCAGTGATTCCAGCAAAGGCGACTGTACAGATACGAGAAACGTTAGACATGACTATACAATGTTACTGTACGACTTTAGGACATATTTATTCGGAGCTTCAAGTATTTTGGCTAGTACGGAATAAAACATGGAAAGACTACGGCATCACGCTTCCTATGGCAGCTGACTTCGAGCAAGTTACAAAAATTAACAAGACACATAATGGAATGTGGCAATGTGTTGTAAAACAAAACGATCTGAACTTCGTGTGGATAACAAATATGATTTATATTAGAGGTAATTATTAAATTTGATTTAAATTTTAGAATATATGTATATTTCCTCTATTTTTGGTTTAGATTTATTAGAATTATCTACACTTGTATCTATAAATTATATTCTTATATAAGAAGTATAAACTTATACTATAAATTTATATAGTACTTTGATCTTTCATCAAAGGATATTATTATAACAAGAATATAATGGGCCATTGATATATTGTCTCTAAGGAAATTTTTGCTAAAAGAATGACATTTTAATAAGAGATTGCAATATAATATAACTTTCTCGTTTTCATAATGATAGGATTACCATTGATTATTCTAACTATCACAAACTTATGATAAAAATCTTAAATGTAAAATTGTATATCTGATATTTCTGATACAGAAAAATAATCAAAGTTGACTATTCATTTATAATTACTTATAATAAATATGAGATAGAAAGAACATAGAACAATTCAAATGCATTACATACATAGACAACATATCGACTAAAATTATTATATATAAAATCATGTACATTTTTAATATATGCACAATTTACTAAACGAGTCCTGGCAGAATCTTGTGAGAACCGGAAAAACCGGTAACAGTGTGGGTAACATTATATTCAAGATCTCCTAGGGATGTTATTATTTGAAAATTTTCCCTAAGTGAATTTTACATGATTTAATATTTCTCTTGTGAAAGCAATTAAAAATTTTTTGATCTTAATATTTTATCAGAACGCAGCATTTTTAAGAAATTTTATCCACTTATGATAACATAGTGAACTACCTTTTTAGTAGATAGTACACGATTTAGAACAAAAATTTGAATTCAAAATTTCAATATTTAATATTTTACAATGCTTTTCATTTCCTGATTTCAATTACTTTGACAATGTTATTTACATTATTTTAAAGTTTTAGGGCCTCCAAATTGGCGTACACATTTGATGGAAGATCAGGCGACGCGTTTCTTTTTTGGTTGGCTGCCCCATGAAGATTATGTCGGTGTTTTTGTGTTGATTCTTTTTTTAATTGTAGTTGCAGCTATAATTGTAGGGTCTTACTATTACATAAGGTAATTATTTTTTACATCTATATTTAGTCTATCATTTTATTTAATGTACAATTATTTTACATTTGTTAATATTAAACTATTGAAAAAAAATATCCATCAATTAGAATTCGAGAAACTGCAAAAAAAATATTTGATATAAGAAATATACCCAGAAGTCCAAAAGGCACACAATATGAACCATTGACGGATGAAGAGATTACTGAAGATCAAGAAACAACGGAAGATCAAAGTACTACTGACGATCAAATAACAGACGATGAAGCGACTACAGAAGATCAAGTAACTACTGAGGATCAGGCTACTACTGAAGATCGAGCGACTACCAAACATTAAGAGTAAGAGACAACCAATGATTAATGTACGTATAATTTATATATAGTAAGTATTTAATATAAATGTTAGTAATTTACGATTGGTATATGTTTACGAATATTATAATCGTAACAGTAATATAGAATAATGACTGTAAATAAAAAAGAAGTTTATAAATTTATAAATAAGTATAGTATATATATATATACATAAATTTATTATATATATATAAAGTACACCAGTAATTCCAACAATACAATCTAAAAATATTTTTTTTAACTTTGCATACACAACAGCCTATCATTGGAACATCGATTAATTCCAAGAGAACTTAAAAATCTTTCAAATTCGTCAACATTTCCATGCATTGACTGTACGAGAGAAATGTATCGCTCCTCAAAGATTCCTAATCAAGAAAAAAAGAAGCTGGATCATGAAAAAACGTACGAGTGGCTCCCCGCTCGATTTCGTAACTTTATTCCTCGATGTTCGGTCGTAACGAATGAATAAAAGGAGAAGTTTTCAGGTGACAGGTAGAGCGAATGACGATGAACGGAGAAGAAGACCGAGAGAAAGAGATCAAGAGTGGCGGTAAGCGACGAAGCAAAAGTCGAAGAAGAAGAAGAAGAAGAAGAGATTGATGAACGAGAAAGAAAGAAGGAAAGAAAGAAAGAAGTTGGACAAAGGTGGGAGAAGAAGTTAGTTGAAGCGAGAGCGAACGGTGTGGAATCAGGGAGGCAGGCTCGGCTGGTTGGCAGAAGATCGCCAAGGTGCAGGCCCGAGGAAACGCGACGAAAGAAAGAAATAAGAGAGTCCAGAAGGCTGTTAGGTGGAAGAAATGGTGAGGAGCAGGAGAGCGGTCGGATAAAAGGATATGGTAGGGCGTGGAAGCGGAAAGACGTGGTAGGGAACTAGAAAAGGATGGATATGAATGTGAACGAAGCGCGAGGGAGAAGGAAAGGGCACAGGGAGCGACAGGTGCCCAATCGCCCACGTGGGTTCTCTCTTTACGGTGCTGCAGCGATGGTAGAAGGGTGAAGAAGACGACGATGACGACGACGAGGACGACGAGCCGGCTTCCTTGTAATGGTGAAGCAGCCGATACTCGTTCTATACACCAAGTGCACTCGCCACAGGATGAACATAGTGGGGCAAAGAGATCCATTGGCGTACGTACCGTTCGGCTACTCTTGGTCTCTAATGAGCTTTTGTTTCGTTACTCCGTTCGATAGAACACAAACGAATTGCGTTACGCGCAGTAGAAATAACAGTCGTTTAAAGTGCAAAATGTTGATCGATCGTAAGACGAAGGAAGTGATTGAAAAGAAACTGGCAGAAAGAACGAGAGAGTGAAATCAAGATACAAACAGAGGACTACGCCACTGAAAAAGTCTGCAGCGGGCCATGTACTGTGAGTGGGAAAAGAGGTAAAGAAGGGGAAGGGCTACCCATTCGGTAGCAAATGCTGGTAACCCGTCGCAAGGTCAAGATCAGTCGGTTAATCCTATCCAGTCAGCCGAGGCCCTTGCACCTTGGAGGACGAACGACCCTCACGCTCGCAACTGAAATTTCACTTTGCCGTCATCGCACGCCGCACTTGCTCTATTTGCTCCAATTTTCGAATTTGGCTCGATCTGCCCGCCCGGTGGGTATATCAATTGGATCGTGTTCCCTGTCTAGATCTAAGTAGGGAACGGATACGAAAACGACGTTAAACCGGGAACACGGGACAGTTTCGAGTGTGCTCCACACATATATACATATACATACACATACACAGTGTCTTTCTGTGTCTTTGTACTTGAAAAATTCATTTTTGTTCAATCTCGAAGGAAGTGGTGGCTCTCAACGAAAATTTGAAAACTCAGAGAATCGCTTTCGTCACCTTTCAGTTATCATTTCTCTTGCCGAAGATAACATTTCTGAACAGAAACAACTGAAAAAGAACATCGACGTTTAGTCATTTTGTCGGTCATCTGATGATGAACATTCAGTAAGAGAAAGAATCGAGGATCTTGTCGTGTGTGATCCATCGAGAAAAGTGTTTACAATAGTGGAGACAACAGTAGCTGTGATTTCCCCAAAGCAACCCTTTACGGGGCCTCTGTTATGGAAACGTGCGTCCTGATACCAAAAGAATTTTCCTTGGCACTAGCGAATGATCGATCAAACTACAAGGGTCTCTTCAAGAATGATTCAGGCAGTTTAGTTACGGACGTCAGGATATCCGTATGGTCAAACGTGCTTATTCCGGCAGGAACGTTGATCTACCCCTTTCAGGGCTCCATTCGATTCGACAAAATCGATCTTTACTCCCTTCTTGATGACAATGATGTAAGTAACATATTTCGTCGCTTCAATTCTTGTCTGTGTTAAAAAAACGTCTTTGAGAGTTTTCATGTTTCTTCAGCAATTAGTGTTGATAGATAGATACACAGTTTAGACTTGCAAAATTGAGCGATGGCTCCTAGATTATAAGTATTGAGTTAGAATGAGTTGCAAAAACATTTTCGTATGTTGAAGCTGTAAAAGAGAATGAATATAAGATAATAGGATATAATAGCTGGAGATATATGAATAATAATTCTAAACGCTCTTCGTATTAAAAAATCGTCATCTGAATTCCTTTATTTAAGAAATCTGAATAAGATTAAAGACTCGCATCATAATAAAGAAATTCGTCAAACATAAGTATATATGTACGTCTATATTATAATTTAAATATTTATGTGGCTTTCAGTTTTTTTGATTAATTAATATCTATATTAAAAATTAATACTTTCTTTCATTGTACTCTGAATTACAAAATTATTTTTAAAAAACGAACATTTTCAACTAAAAAATATAACTATTTTATGACTTTTATAATTCATATTTAACTTCTAAATTTTTATTAAAACAAGTACATCTTCAAAATTTAATGAAATAGTTAATACGATGATTATTAGAATTCTCTCTCTCTTCTTACTTTAATTAAGTCAATCGATAAGAGAAACAAAGAACAGAAATAAGTTGAAAAGAAATATTCATTGCTTTAAATTCTTTTTAAATATGAAAGGATCATGCTATGCCACGTTAGAATGTTTTATATACAGGTAGCAATTATAATCGGATCAACCCATACGGTTTTTTCTCTACGTTCTAATGCAAGTTTCTCATAACTACGATTTGTTTCAGATCAGACGCGAATACGGCTGCTACGATGAAGTCTTCTTTTCAAATTACAGCCTTAACAAGCGTCAGTGCAATTGGATAAGATTCCTCCGTATAGTTCAATCTTACGACGAACAAGTAAATTTAATTGGTACCAAAGTGAAAGGTATGTTAACATTATAAAAATAAAATAAATTATGAGATTCAACATGATATAGCAATGGTACGTCCATGTCAGTCGTGATAAATTTTCTATTCAAATTATTAATATTCTATTACAGAACTTAATCTGTTTTCTATGTTTCGATCGATAGATATCTGTATAAGTAACAAATATCGTTTGTTCAGGATATTAAATAATATTTAACATTTTACGTAATCATCAAGTTGATAATCATTATACGTATGCAATCACTTAATAAATAAATTAAGTTTGTTTTGAATATTTAACTTGAATATAAACTTGAAATTCGTGTTACACGTATGTTACAATATAGATTAGACACATCTTGCATGATACATCTTTAAATGTATTCCTTCTGCAAAGTAGTTTCTATATTTAGTGAACAATACGTTTCCTTTAGTAAAACCTAATTAGACGTTCACTTCTTCATGTTTATTTTTTCTGTTCGTTTATATGATGCAGGGGATCCAATTTTTGAAGTAATAAAAGATGTTCAACCGGATACGGAATTAGTGGCTTGGTTTCTTCCTACGGCAGAACAAGATTTCGTCTTTATACCACACGACATGTGCTCGAGGTCTGCTTTGTATAGATGCACGATTGACTCCATTTTAGATGGTAAGTTAAAGACTTAAATAACACAAAAATCACAGCATTCCACAGACCTTCCAAATGAGTGAAATTTAAATGCATCAATTTAAATTTCACTCATACGTCTTACAATATTAAATAGTGTCTCTGGAAAATTGCAAAAGATTAACGACAAAAAGATTTCTAAGAATATTATAGGCACGAATTCTTTTTACATAAGTTCATGCCTTCAGAAAAAAATCGCTGTGCCGATGCGAAGGCAGAACAGCCAGTCTGTGTTCGGCGATTGAAATCTTGACCGGGTGCAATCGCGTTAATCGGCGCAATCGCGAGCCAATCGAAAAAGAAGGAAAGAAAGTCGGCTAACAAATCTGAAATGCAAATATGCGCCGGTATTTTTGTCGGCTGGATCACAAGGTGCCTCGTTCGTTCGCTCATGATTCAAATGCGCAGACCCCTGCGCTTACCGGGGGATATAAAAGACAGTACAATGCCAGCGAACCTTCAATTCCGAACAGGAGGGCTCGCCGACCGAAGAAGAGAACCGCCGGATAAACGGGTGACCATGAGAGGGATGGTTACAGTCGCGATCAGGGATATTTGCTAGGAGATCGGACCTTGAAAGAAACCGAGAAAATGGATATTATTATATGAGATAAGGTAGAATTGCGATATAGGTGAAGATGGGATAAAATTCCGTGTAAAGACAAGTAAAAGCGGGATCATTATTGAAGGAGTATGTTCAAAGAGAAGGGAATGTGTCATTTCAATGGCATTGGAATAATTATAAATTATATATATATTTATATAGCTGGCTATTATAGTATAATCATATTAATCGACCATTTTTTTAAAATACTCATTTAGGATAGTGATTTTAATTCTTATTATATATGAAAGAAAGTTATGATTTGAAATTACACAATTACACTACTACAATGTGAATATTTTATTCATATGAATACATGAAGGACTTGAGGGAAAAATAGTTATTTATTATTAAATGTTTAGTTTATTATGAAAATTTATTATTTTAATGTTTTCAAACCATAAAATACTTTAAAGAAACAGAGATTTATTTTTATGTCTTTTCTCTTAAGTCCATCATTTAGTAAGATCTCAATGATAAAGTTTAACTAACCAGATTTTGTGCTCAAGAATCCCCATTAGACTTATCCATGGCATTGCTCTCTCATCATTCGTCATCAACGATTTCACATCCGTACTACGAGGTAGACGAATACGAGTCTACGTCTGAGGAATCCTCGTCATCAACGTTATCCTTGACAGGGGATCATTTAGACTGTAGTATTTTAACGACGATTAAAAGAGGAGAGAGAGTACTGTTGCCGTGTGAAGTTTGTGGGAAATCCTTTGACCGACCGTCTCTCCTGAAACGTCACATGAGAACACACACAGGTAAGTGAATAATAATTCATTCATATTAATCAGTGATTTTCAAACCAGATATTAACACTGCATTAATGTTACATCATTGCATGAACTTAAGAAACAATGGAATTTAAAATGAGGGAAAAGATTTTTAATGTAATTAATGATAAGTACGCAGGAAATTTAGAGAGATTTCGCGTAGTTCACTTATTGTGGAAATACTGGTTTGAAAACGGAAAAGGATGTTTTAATATGACATGATTGAAAAGGGTAACAATCTATTACATCTAAGGACGTAAGTCCTTTAACAATTGACCATCGGTCAAGTAATTTGATTTTGTTGTTAAATTGAAGGAGAGAAACCGCATGTTTGTATGGTGTGCAACAAGGGTTTCTCAACATCGAGCTCGTTGAATACGCACAAGCGAATCCATAGTGGTGAAAAACCTCATCAGTGTCTCGTTTGCGGTAAGAAGTTTACGGCCTCCTCGAATCTCTACTATCATCGTATGACTCACATCAAGGTACGTTCCAAACAAGCTGCTTTTACTGAAAGAGATGAATATTTTTATATCGTCAGCATTCGGTCTTTAATTTATATTCGTGAGCAAATAATCACATAAAATATCTTACTTTGAAAAGCTTCACTTTTTAATTAAATCAATTTGCATTTTGTTAATAACATTATTCGAGGACAAAAAATTAATTAATGAATATTTAAAATATTCATAAATATATAATTCATATCCTCCTTCATTGTTATGTTTCTTCAATAAATGGTAATACAAAATAATATAACTTTTTAGAATCTTGTTGTTGCTACAAATTAGTCAAAGTGTCCAGATATTTGATATTAAAGTTCCTCCATAAAGTAACAAATGATCAAAAGTAGAATAGTAGAAGAAGGAAAGATAAATCGGTTCTTTTTGAGAATCGAAAGTCGTATCGTGTCCCTTTAGGGAGTTTATCTTCATTTTGTCCCGGGTGTAAGACTGGCAGTGATCGGGAAAACGCAGGAAACCGGTACGCGGAGCGGTAACGCGAGGCGCGAGTGGTAAAAGATCGGTCGAAGTTTTTATTTATCAGAGCGGAAACCCCCGTATGAGTTTCTCTAATCCAGCGAAGTAATGATATCTCGGGAGCCATATAGGTTGCTCTTGCCATCAGCTACTGTAATTGGTCCATTACTCGCTACTGCTTGGAATGCAATCCAATTAGGGAGACGGAGAATATACCCAGAGGCAGACTCTTCTGGTTCTCTCTTCGATCTTATGTTAACATCGCTTTCCGCCTCTATCTCTCGTCTACCTTTACCTGTATACTATCTTCCCTGCCATCTTTCTCCTTCGTTTCTACTCACTTCCATTCGTGTTCCTCCTCCATTCCCTTCTTCTTTCACGTGTCTTGCCGCTCATCCCACTTCAACCTTGCCACCTTTTCATCGTGTTTTCGCGAGAGTACGCGTTCTTTTATTGTCGATCGGCAAGTCGATCGAACCGCCACTTGCATCTTTATTCTTTCTTCCTTCTTGACGTTCGACGATCGTTCAGGTAAATTTTTTTAGAATTTTATCTCTGTGTAGTGCTGCATTTAAAGAAATATAAAAATATTAAACAAAGAAATTGAAAGTGAAAAATAAAATTTCTTTCATCCTCATTCATCCCTTATGAAAATTCAACGCATAGTGAGTTAGTCTCTTTGCAGATTATAATTGAGTGTAAAGAAATTTTATTTTTTTTTGATTTTGAAAGAGTAAGAAGATGGTATAAATGAGCTGGAACAAAATATTTTAAAATATTAAAATACACATTAACGAAAGAAAATGATTATGTTAATCAAGATTAATTGAACTATCTAGTCAAATTCGAAACAAGTTAATGTTGTAAGTTCTTTTATTCTTTCAAAGTTCATGAGTTTTAACTTCAATTTATACAATAATGAACAGCAATTTATTTTTGTATAAATTCTTTCGCAATCATTGTCGCCTTTTTATATTTTTCTCTATCTATTATTATATTTCATTTTGTAGTTTCTTATCAGTATAACATTTCATAAATTTTTATATATTTTTGTGAATTGATGAAATAAAAATAAGTTTAGAATTTTATCTTTATTTAAGTAGTAATTTGTACTATAGAAGAAATTTTCTAATTATTGTGCTAGTATTCGATAAAAAAAATACATGAGTTAGAGTAATATTTATTAAATTCTTTTTAAAGAGATTCTTCATCGAAGATTTTCGGAATCGAAGTATACATGTTTTACAGTATCGACAGGGGCATTTGTTTTTTTTCTTTTTTTTTTTAAAGAGAGACAGTAAACGCTTAAGAAAAATGAGTACTTATATATGAAAAATTGTGTTACATTTGTCTTAAATTTATATTTAATTAATAAATACGACGGACTTGCAATTATTGTATTGGAAGCATAGTATAGAAACATAGCTTTTTAAGCTATTTTGTTGCTACATAGGACAAACGATTAAATTTCAAAAGATAAAATATTTAAATTCAAGTACGAAAAACAATGCAATTTCAATATCTCGTTGCAAAATATTTGTAACTAATGAGAACAGCAAATTTTCATTAATACTGTTTCCTAAAATGTATAATAAACCTTGTTTTTTCCAAGTACAAATTACAATGAAAGGAGCAAATGTGTGTACTTATTGTAGACTTCTCTACGAAAAATAAAAGATTTACAGCTATATGTTCTGATACATAACGATAAGTAGCTATTTTTAATTTATTGTAAAAATTACGGTCTTATCTTATAAGCGAAACTAAAAATTTTTCAAGTTGGAATTACATTGTTTCGCAAAGCAATGATTTGATTCAATTTATTCGCAGTATAAATCCGCAGTGAAGGGTGCTTTTACGTTTATGTTTCAGGAAAAACCACACAAGTGTTCACAATGCTCCAAGTCGTTCCCAACGCCGGGAGATCTTAAGAGTCATATGTACGTGCATAATGGGCTATGGCCATTTAGGTGCCATATTTGTAGCCGTGGTTTCAGTAAACCGACCAATCTTAAGAACCACATGCTACTACATCTTGGCAGATGTTCGAACAAGAAGATTGTCAAATCCATTTCTGACTACTGACCAGCCGGTAACACCCCCTCGATAATTTAGAAAAATCTATCGAGAAATCTATACGTAATTTGTTACATTGTACGAGATAGAAATTAAAATTATTCCTCTAAATATCTCTCCTATTTATATTACTGTTTAAAGAAACACATGTGCAAATGTTCGCACACAATGCAATTTCACAATTACATTTTAATTTTGTTATTAACTCTTACTAATTGCTCATTACATTCAGGTAAAATAGTATGTATGTATTGTTACTATGCCATAAGATCCATTTCCGTTAAATTTAGATCCTATTTAGATCAATTAATTGAATGTTATTTTTTATAAAATTTCTTTATTGTTCCTCGAAGTTAATTAATACTGTTTACAAAGTGTTACGTTGATTATTGTGACGAGTAAATCGTTTAAGGTAGATTTATGTATGTGAAAGAAATCGCATGATCACGAAATATTCATTTCTTATGATATAAGAAATTTGAGAAATATGCATTGAGGAATAACCTTAAACGCATTGTTTCGCATTTCTTGTACGCGTACGTGTCATTAATCACAAGAATTTAAATGAAAGAAGGAAAAAGTTACCCTTGCATCCTTGCAGATTCATGAATTTTCATTCATCGTTCTTGACAATTTCATATCGTTCAACTCGATGAAAAGAAGTAATTGCCTTTTTACCTCGTTCCGATAATAATTGTTTTGCAATTATAATAAATGATCTATGTACGTCTTCAATAAAATTATGTGATGTTTAAAATAATCTTCACCTTTTTAAATTTCGCCAGAACAGAAAAATTAATATCTAAAATTAATATCTAAAATCTAAATGAATAAAAGTTGTTAATATTAATCCATGTTTTAGTTAAAATAAGTAATGTTTGCTTTTATATCTTTTTTCTTTTCACTTACCTCTGACTCAAATTTCATTCTCTTTCATTCATACCAAAATTTTATTCAAGTTTTTGTTTTATTCAAGATTTGCATATATTATTAATTATTATCATGAAAATAGAAAACAAATATCATATTGTTAAACAACTAAAATAAACATTTTATAAATCTAATAAATAAAAAGAACTATAATTATTTAAATCTTGTAATGGAACTTCTTAATATTTCAAATTAGAAAACTTTAAATACAAAAACATTATAACAGCTTTGAAATAAAGTTATATTTATATAACTTATAATGTATTAATATTTAGTTAATAACATTAAAATTTATCACTTTTATTCATTTAGATTTGATTTCTAATTTAAAATATAACAAACATAATTTTATGTATTTATACCATTTTTTTATAATATTCAGTCAATATACAAAATAACGCCAAAATATTTTTCTCCTGAAGGTATCAATAAACGGAACACAATTTGGAGATATTTAGGTGTAATTTTGGTGTATGAGTTTCCTTCACAAGTAGATCATTTTTAGATCACATTATTTACAACTACAGACAAGATCCACCACTGATGAGACCAGCTTTTGTATCAGTAGGTACTTGTTTCTGGAAACAATCATCCAAAAATTGAGCCATCGATAAGTAGAGATGACCTTTTACCCCTGCTAATGTATGACCCACATCTGGATACACCTGAAACGAATAATTAATGTTGTAAAAAGCAAAATCTTACCTTCATGCGTAGAATGCTCGTACGCATTACTACGAATAGTACCTGTTGTCGAAAAAGTATGCCTTTTTTCGCAAGGTGATGCGTAAGTGCCATGGACTGTTGAAATTGGACGTTATCATCTGCAGTACCATGCACTAAATAAAACATTTTATCCCGTAAATGTTCCACTTTCTCAAATATATCTGACTCAGCGTATCCCTTATAATTTGATACAACATCTGGTAAACCCATGTATCTTTCAGCATATGCTGAATCTGTTCAAATGTAAAAATAAAATTTTTAATTAGCACAAATAATTTAATGTAAACTCAAGAAAACGAAATTGAAATTACCATGAAGTTTCCATGAAGCAATAGGTGCCACACTTATGCCACATTCAAAGACATCTTGCTCAGGATGCGCCAGCGCAAGAGCAGCTACGAAACCTCCGTAACTCCAACCCCAAACAGCAACTCGTTGTTTATCCACGAAATGCAATGAATCTCGCAAATATCTAAAAATTTGTAATAATTTTATAATAATTTAATAATTAAACATATTCTATATTTAAAAAAAAGTTTGTACTTACTCAGTCACTTCAAGTTGATCAGCGACTTCAACGGAACCAAGTCTATAGTACACTTCATGAAGGAATTTATAGCCTTGTCCCCCGCTACCTCTTCCATCAATTTGGGCAACAATCATATTTTTTCTACTAGCTAAATAAGTATTCCAATCAATTTTGAACATTTCCGTTACTAACTGTGAACCTGGTGCACCATATCTAAAAATAAAAATATTTTTGATGTTACATTTTTTTCCCAAAATAATGTTAAAAGATCTAATATTAAAAAAATATGCTTACACTTGTACAATCAACGGATATCTGGTGATCTCATCTTCTCTTAGTCCAGGTGGTAAATGCAATTTTACTTGTGCATTATATCCACCACTTATTTGAACAGGAAATGTTTTAACTTGTGGAAGTGCAAGTTTGTTAACTCGTTCCTAAAATGAATCTCTAATTTGATATATATTTTTATAATATAGCAATATTAATTTATAACAATGACTGAAATATAAAAACTGTTATAACTTACACGCAATAATGTATTATTTTGTAAAACATAGATAAGATATGGCATAGGGAAATTAGTTTTATATAAAGTAACAGTAGGTATACCAGGTCCATAACATTCCAAGACAAAGTAATCAGTCCCAATTGGTGGGAAAATAACATTGTGATATTGACAAGGTTGATCAGTAAATTCTGAAAATAAAAGAAATACCATATACATGGTATCCTTATTGTATAAATCAATAATTAATTATTCCTGCAAAAGTATGTATATATTTATATTTACTTGGTGCAACGTATGTTTTCGATTTCTGTTTCTTTGTAACATTTTCCTTTAACTGTCCAGTATCTTTATCTTGTATACTTTCTGTTTGTGTTTCATAGTGGTCATGTATGTAATTATTGTCAGACCAAGCACTATGATGACCAGATGAAGCTGTTCTATGTTTATTTCGATTTCCTTCTGATGTTTCTGTACAAGTAACACAAACAGCAGGATGTAGAGATGAACCCACATGTGGTAACAATGAACTCACATAATAAAGGTGTCTCTGACCTGGTCGCATAGGTGGAATACCTATAAAGTATCTATTCAAAAAAAAAAAAAAAAGATAAATACGTTTGAAGAAAAATATTATTTGATTAGTAATGATTGATTAATACTTAATAAACAATAAAATTATTTACATGGTATTATTAGGTTGATCCCATGCTAGTATTTGTGCAACTTCGAATTTTCCATGAGTAAGTGGAACAACTAATTTTCGAGCAACATTCACCCAAACAATATGTTTGAAATAACCAGCTTGGCCATCCTTAATTGGGCTTATAGCAATGTAACTACTGCCATTTGCTGAAAAAATAGGTGCCTCTGGAGGGGTATCTACCCAGCCATGATCTTCAGCTACTATCCTTTGAATTTCCTATATAAAACAGATTTATAAATAAAACAATTACTTGAAAAATAAATAGGAATATAATTGCAATATACCTGACAATGCCACAATGGACTCTTGCACATAGTCACAACAGAAAGATTTTGTGCACGGGTCAACCATGTTATGCAGACTTCCGTTGAAGAGACCCAAGAAGCCGTAGTAAAGTAATGTTCTCTGTTAATGAATATAAATATTGATAATGTTTATAGTAAATATTATATATAATAATATTTAATAATTAATTTAATTTATTTTGGATTTAATCAAAGCAATTTGCATGATATTTAATAGCAATTAAATCTATAAAAATGCAACTTAATATAGTACTACTAATAGCTGATTGTATCTATGCAAACTAGTAAAACTTAATTATTTTAATGATAATAAAATATATATGAATTGTTGCTAACCTAAATTTTCCTGTTAATTATGTTTATGTTAAAAAGGAAGCTATGTTATATTTTTAAAAATAGCAAAGAAATGAAAGCAAATAAAAAAACAAGGATGTCTATAATGCACACTAAAAAAATTGGTGAATTAAAATTGCTAAGCACGATTAAATAATCATTTATGTGCTAAAAATTAAAAAAAATATTTTCTACATATATTACATTATGGGGATTAAAATGAGATGATTTCTAAGATTAACTCTTTAAAAATTAATTCTTTAAAAGCTTTATAAATATTTAAATTATCATAAGTGCAAAAAATCACTTATGTATGCAGGATACTATGTGATGAATATATAAAAAATATATATGTGGATAAAAAAATCTATATATGAAAGTATATGAATAAAATAATAATTTATAGAAAATTTAAGAATTTTTATACGTTTAACAAAATATAATGAATCATGTCTTGCTATCAGAAAATGTAAATTCCATTTAACTACATTTAACATTGAAAATATTTTTAATGCTTTTTAGTTTAACTGAAAAAAATACATGGATGTTAATATTTTAGAAAATGGCAAAAAATATTTCTTCATCATATTAGAAATAAATTCGCTGTCTACAGAAGTTAGAAAATTGTGAAATTCACTACAGAAATATTAGACCAAAATAATTTTTCTTGAAGGAACAAAACAAAGATTATATTTTCCTATTTAAGTTTATTTTAAACTAAAAAGTATTCTTAAAAGCCAGCTCATTTTAAACCAAGAAACTACTCCTCATGTATATTTTAAAGTATCTTGCCGAAAGATTATGCTTCCTTTTTTGAAGTACCTCGGGAGTGTCACCATAGAAACATCTAAATGTTTCTTGTAAAAAACAACAAAGTGCAATCTCTATTCAAGACATTTTCAATTTTGTTCATTCTTTTTTTTTTTTTTAAGACGAATAATTAGACCTAATGAGGAAAAATTAATAAGAGAGAATTTGTTCAAGCACTTCATATTCCAAACTTTGTAAAAAAACTCACACATGCTCGATGATAGGTGGCGGTTTCACTACCTTCGTATGAATGTTCTTTGGATTTGCCAAGTCTGCTATATAGAGTCGTACTACTGGATTTGGTGTTCCTGGCTATAATATCATATCATATCAAAAAAAAGGACAATTGTTTAAAAATAATTATAATTTTATGACTTTATAATACATATAATACATATGTAATACATATGTAATAAAAAAGTATAAATTGTAATAATTAATCCAAAATAATAAATAAAATTTACCTTAGGATAACGCAAAGATCGTATATCAGGATACAAAGCTTTATTTCCTTCTCCAAACCAAGATATATGCATTTCCTCAACAAGTGAATCATTAAAAGAAGCATATAACATCATATGGCCATCTGATGACATCCAAATTGCTTCTGCACGATGTAATATCTCCTCTGTAAATGTATGTATAAAAATTTATGCATATAAAATAATTTATTCACACATTTCTTTTCCAAAAAAACACAATATTTTAATTATATTACCTTCATAAAGCCAATCTGGTAGTCCATTTGATAGAATACCAGGAATTGCTGTATCAGTAACACGATATCCTGTATTACTTTTCGGACTTGTTATATAATAAATATCATAATCGTGAACCATAACTAAACCATGATCACGTGGAGTCCATTGTGCCAATAAAAGATAAGGGTGAACTTCTTTCTCAGGATGTGGAGTCAGTGGTATAATTTCTCTGTAACAATAAAATGATTAATGTCTAATGATGATAAATAAATAACAGTAATAAAAAATAATGTAGACTAATTTGCATAGTTGTGTAGATATTTACAAATAAATTAATTTTTTGTTTCTTCTTTTGATAATAGTAAAGTTATTTCCTCTAGTAATTAAAGAATTCACTTCTGCAAATTTCTTCATTATTCTAGATTAAAATTATCATTTAAATTATGCTTACTAACCGTGTATTTACATCGTAAACTGTATATTGTGCTAAATACGAGTATCGGAATAGTTTCTTCACATTGTGCGCAAGGAGCAAATAATTACGATCCGGTGACAATGAGAACTTGGCGGGATTCAGTGTCCTCTGTATGCAAAATACCTCTTAATGTTCTGTTTTTCTAGAAAGCCTAAGTGTAAGTATACAAATACATTCTAACAGACGCAATTTTCTATATTTGTACATAAAAAAATTATATATATACGTACCTGTTAAATATAATAGTTTGTTTTATATTAAATTATCTTGTTATATAAAAGTACATAAAATTAATAAAAATATTTAAATAACTTACGAAAGTTTCATTGGACATTAAACTGCGGGAAGTGATGTTTTTTGAGGAGACGTACAATAGCGAAATTCCACCCCATACATCCCGGTAGCAAATATGCTGTCCGCTTACCCATGATCCATTGAAGAAAAGGGGTGTTAATTCTCCAGAAAGTACCTAAAACATATTTATTTTATATTAACACAATGTACTATTAACTATTTATTTACTTATTATATAACACCATTAATTATTTATTAATTATTATATAACACCATTTTCATTAATACAATAATTAGATGAGTATTCACTTGAATTTACTAAAAATCGAAGTTTTTTTATTTCATTATTTAAGAAGTATTTTATTGTAAAAATATTTTCAAAGTATATACTTTGAAATTAAGTCTTTTTCTCATTAAATCTTAAATTTTGAAATTAAATTCAAACGCTGGTATAAAATAAACTTAGGCGGTGGATCGTGCCTACTAATTGAAGAAGTTTGAAATAAATCGTTATACCGACTGGAAAATGATAATTTGTGAAATTATGGATTTAGAACAAGGTCCAAGTAATATTTTATTTTATGCTTGCTCAGAGAACGTTCATGAATATTAAAAACAGAATATACAGTAGCGTGAAAGGAATCTCTTTAAAAAAGAAGAAATGAAAGAATTGAAGAAATATTATAACCAACGATATCGGATCGCGAAATAGGGAATGTAAAATTATTACAACCATTAAATAAATATTTAAAGATTGCAGAATTTAATAGACAAAATCAATAAGTCAAAAGATCTGTGGATGTCTTCGAAAGATTCAAGATCAAATTGATCTTAGCAATCTCCTAGCCAAAAAGATATTCATGAAAACGAATGATTTTTCCAAGGGAATTTTTTTTGTTTCCTTCTTTCTCATTAAGATAATTAAAATATGAATAACAGAGGTAAATCTATTGATTAATATGACATTTCTGATTTTACCTGCAGCAACAATGTAACTTAGATAAAATCTTCGACCATATATTAAAAGATCTACCTTTACAGATATTGGTGTATTGGATCCATGATTGTAAAAAAAATTTGTAATCAGTATATGTTTTAAAAAAAGAGATTAACAAAAATTCTTCATTTTTCATATTGCTTTAAGCAAATACTCTCTTCGGTACTAAAATAATGAATTATATTATTAAAAAAATAACTCGAGAGTTAGAATTAATTAATATTATAAGTATAAATATGTAATAGTTTAATTGCTATCCAAAATAATTATTTACCTCGGAAAGTCTTATTCTAGCACCTCGTACTCTGGGACCCTCATCTGGCGGTGTTAATAAGGCAACGGATGTCACAATTAGTGTTAAGACCGCAACGATCACAAGAAGAGCTATCAAAATGCCACGCCAATTCCTTTGATTCGGATTCGCTGATACAAGCTCCTATCACAAAGGTACTCACTAACGCCAATGCCAGATAATCATACTACACGCATAGTAAAATTTGTTAACTAATTCATTTAAAATATAAGATAATAAAAAGTGTTCAAAAATGTTAAAGATAAAAATATCACATTTAAAAAATTACAAAATTACAAGAAATAAAAGCGAAGTAAGCAAAATAAGTATTAAATAAATATTTCTCTAACATTTAAGAAAAGTGTAATACAAGGAATTTATTACAATATTGATTATATGTAAAATTATATCTAGAACTGTATACATTATTATGTAAAATCTAAAACAAATACCAGATAGTTTTATAGCAATAGTATAATACTATAACTATAGAAGAAAGTAATTGATTACTGTAATTTTAATTTTAGATTATATGTAGGTCAATGTTAACTTTTTACGTACATTTATGGAGAAGATATTATTGATCTTATAATTTAAGAATAATTGTTTTTAAATTATGATTTTCATAAAGAAATAAAACTATATTAATATATCAATAATCTTATTAAAATAATAACTTTTAAAGAAAATAGTAATTAGTCGCATATATTGAAAATGTTGAATATGATAATTCCTCTCGTGTTATAAATGAATATTTTTTTTAAACAAAATCATCAACAAAAAGTTATTTCGTCAAATAAAAATTTAAGTGTATACAGTATATATAATATAATTAAATAGCACAGCAATAGAAATATGTTTATAATTTTTAAGAAAGCGATATACTTAACTGCAGTTTTTGCAAAAGTAAAATTTCAAAATTACGATCAATAAATTCTTGCTCTAATTTTCAACATAGCGTTAATAAAACTTCAGAAGCACAGAAAGTACTCTTTTCTTTAAATCTCTTGTGTAAATAGTAAAGACAAATTTGTTAATATCAAAGAAGAAATATCGTGCATTACAAAAAGTTTCGTACCATATTACCATTTGGAAAAAAGTGATCAACTTCTCAAGATACCATTCAACGTGTGGACAAACGTCATATAGTATGCATTTAATTATACCTTACGTACAGTATATCACATTCTAGCAAAGTTTACCAACATCAAGGAGATTCAGAATTTCCAACAAGGCGGATGAAAACCGAAAATTTCACAGAAAACGCAAGTGAATCAATTGATATTACCTCGTCGTCGTAAATATTATCGTGATCTGCCATCGGAGAAGACTATCGACGTCCTGATGTTTCTGTTAAATTAGGAAAGCAAACAGAAGATCGTGCTAAAGTTTATCTCGTCCAAAAGCTGCGACAAATGTAGTCCTTTGTGCAACGTGATACATACATATGTATTCACTGATATATACAATAAAGAAAGGAGTACAACGACGGAAGAAAACGAGGAGAAATAAAGAACGAAGATAAATACAGCGTTACGCGTAATAGTGCTACAGCACGTCGCGATTTCTCAACCTCCACCTTGCACTGTGCGAAATTTTCGGTACTGATATTGAGATTGTACCCGTTGATGCTGGAAGACGAAGCCTGCGCGGTACTGATGCTGCGCACTTCTATCCTTCATTTCTTTTTTCTCACTTCTCTATTTTTAAATTAATTTTTGGCGTCAATGGAATCATCGGGCTTCCGTCATTAATAATTATCTACTTTAGAAATATCACGTTCTATAAAAATACGCAATTAAAATCCCTTGGATTTTGTCAGTCTGGACTTATTTATTCGATAAATCTTCTGGATTTATTCAATATTAAAAGATTATACCTCTATATAGCTATTTTTCAGAACAAAAGTAATTTTTGAAGAATTTAGAACTTGAATTAATGTTTATTTGGTCTGGAGTCAATCTGATTTAATCTACTTCAGAAATATAAAGGTATTACACATATTGAGATTCTTCTCGTTATATTTTAATTGCATATATAGTATCACTACTAATTACTAATTTGTATAGTTTCGTATTAATTTCTATAATAGAACACATTCATTTTTAAATGTACATATGTACATATGTACATTTAAAAATAATAAAAACCAAATTATTAAAGATTTCAAATCATAATTTCAAGCGATGATATATATAAATATAAATTTTTAATTCACAACAAACCTGTTTTGGAGTAAAACTTGAAGTAAACCTTTTTATTTCCATTTTATATATTTTATGTACATGACATACACATATATATATATATATATATATATATATATATATATATAGAGAGAGAGAGAGAGAGAGAGAGAGAGAGAGAGAGAGAGAGAGAACGAATTGAGAACGAACATGCACAATGAAATATTGTTGTGCTTTCATACAGAGGTACCTCATTTCAATAAGGACTAAACAAAACTGTATATTATACGTAACAAATATTAATGATTTGTAATTAACATGATATTTTCAAATTTGTAAGTATTCAATCTGAAAAAATTCAATTATTCAGTTAAAAAAAAAAATTAAATTCAAATTGCTACACAATTTGCAGAAAATTATTATTATATTATTAATAATTATTTTATAAAACAAATTTTTCTTGATATTAAATCTTTATATAATAGAACATGTGTACGTTTTACATTGCTAGAGGATTTAAAATATTTTATATTTGATTCCATGAGCAGTTGCTCACTTGTTTTCAAAAATTATCCTAGTAAAGGAATATTTAAAGCATAGTAAATAATTTTTATTCAAATTTATTAAATACATTCGATAACAAACATAATATACAATAATCAAAATATATTCGAAATGAAAGAATATACTGGTATAGATATAGACATGGCTATCGTTATTTATAATAAACAAATATAAATTCTTATAAATATTAATGACTTTCACAAACAACGTAATATATTAATAATAATAAAAAAAGTGTATAATTAAAAAAGATATTGATTAAAATATAGAATAAGCTAATAGCAATTTATTAAAACAAATGAAAGAAACGTTTGTACAAATTAGAAAAAAAATGTACAATTAAATCTTTCAGCGTACAGAGCGAAAATAAGTACAATGAAGCGCGTCACCACTAACCTCCATATACGTAAAATAATCTTTCGGTTTTTCTTCATAAAAAAGGTATCTCTTTGAGTACAAGTGGATATATATAAGTTTAGTGGTAAGTTACGAAGCTTTTATACGCGACCCAGTATATTCGTGGATACAGATCAATACGTTCTGCGTTTGCGTGCAAGTTAAAAGAAACATTTTTGAAAAAGCGCCAATTATTTGAACAGAAATCATTCGAACTTATTGTTAATACACTGACTTGCAAATTGACTATACAAAATATTTACCATCATTACATTTCAAATTTAATATACGACGTCGCTAATGAGCATGCAAGTAGTTCATTTCTGTTTTTTCTCTGTTATTATTGATATTATGTGTAACATTCAAAATTGAATAGAATTACGCGTACGTATGCTATAAATTGACATTGCACATAAATACACATGCAAATTATGCTGTACTATGAATATTCCATGCACATTAAGTAAACGAACCTGGCACTGTCAAGTCTGCGACGACTATAGATTAGAGTTTATTTCCTACGTCTTTATAAATATTATTCATAAAAAAAAAGAAATCAAAGTAACATTGTCCATACACCTTTTGCAAATTAAAAATAATAAAAATGAATATGAGACGCAACTAACCTTCAAGCGATTTAAACAATGTATTGTTTAATATTATTATTTATATTTGTTAAGTTTTTCTGTAATAATTAAATTAGATATTCAACTTTCATAAAATCTTACATATCATTATAAAAAATATTTTGCAAAATTAATTATGAATTGACAATGAAAATGTATTACATTTACAGAATTAAAAATTAGTTCAAATATCCCGCTATTCGACCATAATAGAAAATAGTTCATTTATCGTGCGTATATAGCGCTAGTGTTTGTAGTTTTTCGAAAAGCGACATCTGTTTTTATATTTTAGTTTATTTCTACTGGCGTAACGAATGTCAATGTGTTGTAATTTGTGCAATATATATGTGCATTGATTTGTAAAATAATTTTCTATACTGCGAATTTATTATCTTTAATCTCTTCTCCTTCGTAATTGTCATTCGTTATTGAGTGAAAGCAATTAAAAAACAACATTTTATACCATCAAATATGAATGAAAGTCTAATCAAAGAAATACACTATTTAACGAGTAAGTTTATATTTTTTTGCAATATTCCAGTTGATCATAATAACAAATAGCAGTTTTGAAATATTTCAAACAAATGAAATAAAATCATACTGTTATTCTAATATATCACAACATCATCACATTAAGAACATTTTTGTTATGTATTTATATAAATATTTGGAATTCTCAACTCAGATGCCATATGCTAATATTTTTTCTCATTTTCTTTTTTTTTTTTTTNTTTTTTTTTGATAATCTGAACATTTATTCCAGTTGTAATTCTATTAACAACTATTATGATTCTATTAATATGTGATTCAATTAACATGTATAAATAATAATTTATGACTTGTATTATACATATTTCATAAAATATAAATGTTACAATTTAATAACATTATAATGTATTAATTTCAGGTTTAATAGAAAATCATAAGAAAAAATTGCCAGAGAAGTCACATTGTGTTGAAAAACCTATCATAAATCAAACTTTAAATTCTGCAAAATCTGGGATGTATATAAATTTGTTTCAAAAATCTCAACAATCGAAAACATCTACTACAGCATGTAACATGTTGACAAGTACTAATGTATATATTAATCCAAACTTTAAACACCAAAATTCTGCAATATATATTAATCCAAAATTACACAAAAAATCTTTGGTACATGTTAATCCAAAAATGATGAAAAATGTTATCAATTCTAATGAAGATGTCCAAAGTAATTCTGTAAATATAACTACAAATTCTATTCAAAAATCAGTGCATGTTAATCCAAAATTAATGAAAAAATTGTCTTCCTCTGTACAATCTAAACCAGCAGAACATAAAGAAATAATTGTACAAAATATTACTTATCCTACTTGTTCAAGATTAAAACTTGTTAAGAGTACAAATTCTCCAAAGGTTATTCATAATCAAAAGAAAGTAAACAATTCTGGTATTGTAGCTTTATCAGAAAGAAAACTTTTGCGTGTAAAGCGAGGATTAAGAAAATCCTTTAATACTTCTCAAGTTGAACTTTATAAGATTAAAAGACCTTCAAATCCTTTAGTAAAAAATGTTAAACCTATACCTCAAAAATTTATGAAAACCAAGATAATAAATTCTTTGCAACAGTCAATTAATAAAAATAATATTGTAAAATCACCAGTTATGAAACCAAAAATAAACAAATACAGAATAGATCGAACTGTATCAAAAACAACAAATGCAAAAGAACGTATAAATCTTATTCAAAAAAAAACTATGTAAGTATTTAAAATAATGTAACAAATTTTTTTTAAATTTTAAGTTTCAGATAGTTCCTATAATTGCATTTTAAAAATTAATGAATTTATGAATATATTATAGAAATAATAAAATGGAACTAATTACAATTGGTGGAATTGTTTATAAATCTTCCAAGAATCATTTAGTACGTAAAAGTTATGGAGTGAAAAGTAAGTAAACATTATGTAACATGAAATTATATAAATGCATGACATAAATGTTATATTTCTTGCATTTCAATTTTAGAAAAACGAGTAATAAATCTTAAAGACAAATTTATTATAACTACTAATGGAAAAAAATTATGTAGAGTAAAATCTTTAAAAGAAGCTTTAGGCAGTTCAAGTACAAAAATATTAAATACAACAAATGTAATTAAATCTTCATTTAATATGTCGCAAAAAATAAATTATAAAAATAATATAAGGTATGTAATTACTAATTGTTCATGTGTATTATTTTCATATTTTACTTTTGCTTTTACATATATTATAGTATTCTTTTTTAGTTTAGTTTTATATTATATCTTTTTTTTTATATAATCATTTTATTAATTTTTTCTCTTTTGCAGCAATAAAGTCAAACAAAAAAGTATACAAATATTACGAAACAAAATGCAAAAAAATAACCAACCATGTTTAATATTCCAAAGATTTGGATATTGTTCAAATCATGAAAAGGGAATTTGTGTAAAACTTCATGATAAAAAACAAATTTCTTTGTGTAAGAAGTAAGTATTTTTTATTTATGTGATATAAAGAATATTGTTTATTTAATAGACAATATATTTTTAGATTTCTTCAAGGAAATTGTTTATTGGATAAATGTCCGTTATCTCATGATATTGGTCCAGAAAAAATGCCAACTTGCAAGTACTTCTTAGAAGGTTGTTGTACCCGGGATGCTTGTCCTTATCGTCATATCAAAGTTTCTTCCAGTACTCCAATTTGCATAGATTTCTTACAAGGATACTGTGCCAAAGGTAGTGAGGTAAGTGCAATATTTATTATTCCAATTAAAATAATTACTATTTCCTATTAAATCTTTGAAATTGGTACACATGTCTACGAAGAATATTGAACATTGGCAATTAGACAATTTTATCATTTAAATATAAATGTATCATATAGCATACAATATATATTAGATAAAATTGCTGATGTTATATCTTCACCGATTTTAATAACTTTTAAATATGTTATAGAAATCAACATTTTGAACATTTTTCTATACATATTTTGAAAACCAAATTTAACAATCATAAGAAAAAATGTTTGTTTCTATACATTCGAAAATGATCAAAATCAAAGAAGACGTAATATATTGGCAACTGACTATATGTTGGTATATTTATCAAATTTCAGTTAAATTTAATAATATAAAATTAAATTAAATTAAATCTTTTTTCAAATTTTAAATATTTAGCAGGATTAATATCCTTTTTAAAAATTTTATAATTTATTTTTTCTGCATTTTTATTTTTTTTATATTTAGTAGTAATTATATGTTCATAGTCCATAAATAATTACTTTTTTATTAATTTTTAAATTAAATATTGATAATTTTATAATTATTTATGAAATTAATTTCAAAATTCATAAAATTCATATTAATAACTCGTAAAAAACAATATTTCAAAAGACCTGGAAGTTTCTTCTTTTACAGTGTAAGCAGCGTCATGAAAATCTGTGTCCCGAGTTTGAGAAAACCAAAAAATGCAGTAAAGGTAAGCATTGTCCTTATCCACATAAAACACAATCCTCTTCTAAGAAACAAAGCCATTTAAAAAGAAAGTACAGTACGCATTGCAATCAAGCAGTAGTTCCTGTTACAAAAAATACTTCATCTTATAGTACTGAAAACAGGCTTAGATATTATGAACAAGCAGACGTTCTAAATAAATCTCTTGATAAAAAAAGAGAAAATGTTATGAAAAAAATTAAACTTATGAAAAATGTAGAATCAGCAATTCATTCTAATACATCAGTTGAAATATGTGATAATACAAATTCAGAAATAAATGAAAATAGTAATGAATCAGAAGTTATTTCTGATTCAACAGTATTAAGACGTCCTCCAATTGGTGTTCTACCTGCTTATATACCTATTGATTAATGCAAATTAGTATAATTATTAATAACATTGTTTTGATACTTTTTAAAGTCTGCCTTAGCATCTATTAATTTCAAACAACATATCATATTGTGTAATTTGATAAGAAAATTTGTTTTGACAATTGATGAAATTTATACTTAATAGCTAATAAAAATTACATTTGTATTATGTTATGTTCAAACATATACAAAAAATAAGAATTATATTTTGTAATGACGTTTTATAATATAATGGAAAATGTATATTTGACAAAATGAAAGTATTTTAACTATATATATACACAAGTTATAATCATTTTACATGCATGTTGTTCTTGCTTCCTTTATTTTCCTAAAATAACTTATATTTAAAAAAAGAAAATTTTCTGACAGATATGATAAAATTTGTATAACACTAATGAAAATGTACGTTTTTTGTATCTTTTTTAAATATACATTTTATTTACACATATACTGTACAGTGAAAGTTAAAATTAAATACAATAAATTACATATAAAATACAAATGTAATATACATTGAGAGTTGAAATTAAATATTCATAAAATAATTTATATAAACAATTCAAACATAAGTATTTCTATTATTATAATTCTTATACATTTTTTTTATAATAAGAAGAACAAATATTTAGTAATGTTGTTTCAAGTATATAAAAGGATCCAATTGGTTGGATGATTGTATGCCAACAATATTGGGCTATGTAATAATAATGACAATGTGTTTTCATCAACTGTATTTGATATCATAAACCATTGTTCAAGCCAATTTCTCATACTTTCTAAGGACATAGTTGCAGGATTCAGACCCCTAAAGGAAAGTGCCTAAAATATTTTATAATTTAAATATATGTGATAAGTGTATTTTATAATTTAAATATAAAATATATGTAAAGAAATCATGCAAATAAATAGTATAAAAAAATATTAAAAAATTATTTTACACATACCCAACGTATTGCATCATTTGACATAGTTGTAAGTCCACCTTCTTTTTGTATGGCTTGATCCATTTGTTTTATTAACATAGCTCGTTCTTTTAATTTTTGTTCTTTAAAAACTGTCCAAGTTGATATATTGTGTATGCCAAGTAATTCTTTCTAAAAGTATTATATTTCACATTTCACAGAACATTTTATCCTTGAAATTTGTTTTTTATAAATATAAAATTAATGTACTAAAATAATTGAAATCAACATACTTTGTGTTTTCTTTTAAGGCTATTTAATGAATATGGTTGACCCGCAAATAATTCGGAACAAGCAATAATATCTTTCACATTAGGATGTGTACCACTGCCAAGACTTGCAATAATACCACTCCATTTCAATTTCAATGTTTGATTTTTAATATTGTTAAGCTTTGCTTGCATGCACCTAAACAATGGTCTGTTGTGTTTTAATCTTTCTTTATGGTCCAATAGCATAAAATCAAGTCTTTGTTGCAGTGTCCAATAATGAGAAGTTAAAAGATATCTCGGAAAATAATATGCTAGAGGAAAGATGATATAACTTGTAAAAGGAATGGCAGATATTAATAAAACAGGCAATATTCGTATTAAATCTTTAGGCATTGTGTAGCTCAACTTTAGTTCATCAAGAGTTAAATTATTGTATTTATCAATATTTTGCTTTTTCAATATCAAAAGAAATTTTTTTACGTCTTGGATAAAATCATTGGTTCCAACGCTAAATATGCGATATACATGCATTGTCTTTGGAAATCTTTTCTCTAGTACACGATTATAATTTTTTATATAATTTATATATTTATCAAACCAATAACTTTTTATATTAGACATTCTTTTTTCCAAGTTTCTGGTCTCTTGTTTTTTAGATCGTATACAAGTATATGTAAGAGGTAAAAGTTTTTGATTTTGAAAAACAAATCTTTGATGATGCATTAATCTATACATTTTCATGATTCTATTTATGTAACATTACTTATGGTTATGTTAGATCTTATTAGCTCCGTTCTGAAATGACATTATTATTATATTAAATTAAATATATTTAAGAAATATATTTTGGATTATTATACATTTTGATAATACTTGTTCGTTTGAATAATTTTTATTATTTTATATATTTGGCAGTGCTCCCTAATTCTATTAATGTTTATATTATTTTTCCTTTGTGTAAAAATATTAAAAAAACTATACTTTCATTACATTGTGTTTACAAAATTGTCTAATTTTAATTGAGATACCCCTTTATTATCTAAATAACTGTTAATATATTTTACAGCTATTATACACTATGATCACAGAAAATATTGATTTCAATATGTTTTATGTATAAATTTAAAATTTATTAAAAATAATCGAGCACATAACATCCACAAATGCAAAACAGTAGGAGATTGAATTTTACAATATTTAAAAGTTAGTAAAAATTTTTAACTGTTTATTCTTATTTGTCATGATATTATTGAATATAAACTTGAATATAAATTTGAATGCCAGTGATAAAACTTGTATCACTTTCCTATTATATCAACTTGTTATGTTTTAAATGTGACATTTTAGTATAACGGCAATTGTAGACAATATGATGCACGTGTGTACAAATTCATAATAATCGATCTTGAACGTTTCTTAGCGGTAAATTTGAAATTCATAGTGTAAGCAAAAAGTAGTTTTAAATAAATATTTTTTATAGATCATTATCGTAATTTTCAGAACAAAATTAATAAAACTAACATTTCTAAAATTTATTTTTATTAAAGATCTTTTATGAACAGGATTTTGGTAATTACTTAATTAAATACATCTCATTATATTGTATCACTTATACGGTTAAATTCAAAAATTTCTATTTGAAAATAAAATATTCTTTATAACTATTTTTAATTAATTTTTATTATTTAATACATTAATATAATCGTATAGGTAATTGAAGAACTATTTGAGTTCATTATTTTTATTTCACAACAATTTAAGTAGTAAAATAATTTTTAAATTAATTAATTTTTTTTGTTTACTATTTATAAAAAGAATAGCAGTATAAATATTTTTGTACAGTTAAGCATCACTGTAAATATATACAGACAAATTACACAACAGATATTACATCTTGTAAAATAAAATATTCTTATGATCTTCTAAAAATATGTTTACTTAATAAATTAATATTTTTAATTTATACCACTCTGTGATATTCATACACAGTTATTATTGAAATCTTGAGGTTTCTATGAACTAATAAAATTGAAGGCACATATAGCAATACTTTATAGGAATGTAATTCAAATTTTGTATATTGAGAATATTGAGATACACTGGGAAATTAGTTTTCTACTCATAAAATGTAAAACATAATTTATCAGTTTACAAAATGAAAATTATATAGCAAATAAAGATTAATTATTTCTTTTAATTGTCTTCTATATCCCTATGTAAAAATAAACTTAAATTTTCTGCATTGCATATAAATTTACCGCAAATAAGAGAAAATCTATATACAATATGTATACATTAACTTTACACAAAGCTTTATACAAATAGATAAGAAGCATTTCATTACAGTAAAATAATCAGATTATTGAAATTTTAACATTCAAATTTTGATATATAAAGGAAGATAAAAAATTATATTGGCTTAAAAATTTTTTAGTTTTAGGATGTAGAATACTTTTAAAATAGACCATATAAATATGTATAGCATGTATTTGATATAAAAATATCTAAAAAGATTATTAACACTTTTACACGTATTTAATAAGTTAAATTTTAAAAATATCGAGAATGGCACATATTTAGTAAAGTAATAGTTTTAACATAAGTTATTGATATCAGCCTTTGTATCTGGGCTCAATGAGCTCCAATAAGTATTAATACACTTTTGTAACTTTAATTCAGTATCATTAACATTACATATTTTATCAATTTCGTAATGTTTCTGTACTAATTTATCTATCCATTGATCCAAGTTAGAATTAATCTTAATTTCATTATCTGTCATATGTGTAGTTCGTTCGTAAAAATTTACAGAATTTAATAAATGTGACCACTTTTTGTTCATTTCTTCAGTAATATGATAACTGTCAACAGATGCATTATTTACTTCCTTAGCTCTCTCTGGATCAATCTTCTTATTTTTCCAATATGCTAAAGGGGTCACCAAAAAATTCATTTTTGCCACTAATAAAGAATCAGCAACTAAAAATAGATGCCAAGTACCCACAACTAGATGTTCATTGAATTGTGGTTTAACATACCCTGTCTGAAAACAGGAAAAATATTAGTTATCTATAGTATATTACATATAAAACAATCAATTAAGAAACTTATATTTACTAATGTCATTTCTTCAAGCTGTATATAATTAACTTCCGCTAATCGACCATAAGGGTCCACCCATAATATTGACAGATTTTGAGGTGTTGTAATTCCAGTATCAAATTCATATGATAAAACTGGATATGAATATGGTCCTATACTTCCTATTAAATTTCTAAATGTCTTTTCTTTTTGATCATAATCAGTATTAACAGATAAACTTTGTATCTTTCCTAACCATTCTCTACTAGTAGAAAAGTTATGTCTTGGATAAACCAAAGACTCTATTCGTTTTTGTTGAACAGTTTGTTGTTGTAATGTAACTTCAGCAAGAATTAATATTCCAACAAATTGATTTTGTTTAAAATAGGCAGTTGTTTCCAAAAGACGGACATCTTTGTAATTTACATTTAGTTTATGAAAAATCAACCTTGCTAAGGAATTTGAAACAGTCAATTGTGCATCATCAGTCAAAGGACTCAAATCTGCCGCATGATACAAACTTTGCCAATAAGCATCGTAACCTTTTGCATTTACGGTTTTATTTAAATTTTCAGAGTACAGCCATTCTTCTACCCTGTCTATAATCCTTTGGTCAATAATAGATTCGAATTTCCGAGCAAAAAATAAATTCCGATCTATTGTATTACGAATTCTGCTAAAGTCTTCAAGTTTAAAATCATTTGGACTGCATCCACACCAATCAACCACAGCTTTATACTGACATTTACATCCTAACTTCCTTTTCCAATTAGTAACATGTAAATTATTATCTATATAAGTATTGCAAAATTTTGAGTTACGTAAAACTGTATGAAAAAATGATTCGGCAGGCAATAAAGTATATTTAAAC